ACAAATTTATCAATTAGCAGGAAAATTTTCCTCTTTGGGCACTTAAGAACAGAACATAGACAAGGAAAAAAAGTAAAGAGGTAGGTCAGAAAGAAATTAAAATACTACCAATTAGAGAGAGAATGATAATATTGTCCTAATTTGGAAGGGAAGACATCACTAAAAGAAAATGACAGGAAAAAAATTTAAGAAATAAGAATATTGGAAAGTCTGTAGAAAGCCACAGAAAAACAAAACACCTGGATGAGCACCTCAAAAAGTGGTAGATAAAAATTGACAATATATGACTTGAGGAAGATAAATTTGATAATTTTTTCCTTCTGTTTCAAAATGCTCTGTTCAAATTCTTTTCCCCCCTACTTTCATCCTACATTCACTTCCTTTTTGGAAAAAGGCATTTAAAAATGAAAGAGGCTGCAATTCCCTTAATAGGAAATGAGGGGCCACTTTAAAATGGAAGCAGGAAAAGAAGGGCACAAAGAAACACTCAACTCAATGCTCCAGTGCTCTCCATATTCCAGAACGAGTGACTGCTTCTCTACAGGTTCTTTAAAGGAACATTCAGAGACCACATGCTTTCTAGTAAGAAAACATAAACCGGGTTTCATTCCACTGTAAAACATTTAAGGTAAGGATTGGTCCCACTATAGATATATACTTACAGCTTGTTCATTTCTCATTCCCACATATTTTATTCCAGCTGCCTGGGCTGCAATTGCAATTTCAGTGACTGGAATACCAACAATGCCAAACATGTATTCAATATTCTATAAAGAAAAATGTTAGAAGAAATCAGATTTTTTTCTCCCCAAAAGACAGCTTTAATAAGCACATGCCAAAGACAGACATGCAAACAACACAGGCAGTCTAAAACTAAAATGTAACAACATATATGGTCACATAGAAGTTTAGAAGTCACTGTGGAAACATACACAATGCCAGACGGTATTTCCAGCTCAGCCCTCTGTGGTTGTGAAAGCCTTGGATTTTGGAGGCCCACAGGGAGTGGGACAATGGTTCAGTGCCTCAGTCAACATATGTTCAGTGCTTTCTGCTGATCAATTCTCACTTGGGACTTCTCCGTCACTCTCCTGTTTCCGGATAAGTCAGCTTCACCTACTCTCATGGCATCTCATGTTCTTGCACTTTCACAGAAAACAGACACCAAAAAGGCCCCAGGCGATAACTGGGGTAGTACCGTGCACAAGGAAACGCTGAGATAAAGAAGACTGTGCTTATCTTTATTACAGCCGAGCGCCCTTTCTCTGTATGTCACAGGCTAAAGGCAAAGTCTTCTGTCAAGGCCGGTGTCAGGTCAGCACCAGCTCGAGTTCAGAGATAACACAAAGCTTTGATCACTGTAAAAGAGGCGCAGGAGGCACATCCAGCTGCCAGGGGAAGGGTCGCGGAGGGCTGTCGGCATTGCCTGGCGGCAACGGAGAAGGGGCTGAGCTCGGGAAGGGGCAGGCTCAGGAAGGGGCGAAGAACGGAATCAGTGCGGGCCTGTGGAACGCCGCCCCCGGGTCAGGGGTGCCCGGCAGCACCGAGACCAGGCGGGGCCAGGCCGCTCCCGGGGCCGTGCGGCGGGACTTCCCTCCCTCCCACAGAGCGGCGGGGAGAGCCTTTCGCGCCCACTCCCGGTGAGTCCGGCCGCGCACACTCGTTCTCCGCGGGCACCCGCGGCCCGGCGGGCGCTGTCCCTGCCCGCTGGTTGCCGGCCCCCCGCCCCGCACCCTCACCTGATCCCGGAGGGCCTGGGCGATGAGCTGCGCCCCGCTGAGCGCCTCGCCCTCCATCGCGCCGGCACCGCCGGCCCGGGCCCGGCCGAAGGTCGGGGCAGGTGACTGACAGCCCGGTCGGCCAATCAGGCGGCGGGGGGCGGGACCGAGGGCCGCGGGTACCACCCCTGCCCTGGGGGCGAAGCCTAGGGGAGCTCCCGATTGGCCAGAGCGGGCAACCAATCAGGAGGCCGAGAGGCGCCGGCCCGCAGCGTGAGGTGGGAGCGGGACGGGCCTTCCCGGCTCCCGCTGGGAGCGGGGGCGGAGGGGCGGGATGCGGAGGGAGCGGCCTTGGAGCGGGGGAGGCGCCTTTGTTGCCGGCCCGGCCCGGTCGCGGCCCCGAAGGTCTGTGTGAGGCGCAGGGCCTCGCGGGTGCCCGGGGCTGCCGCCCTGAGCTCTCCGGCGCTGTGGGGCCGGTCAGAGATGGCGAACGCGGAGCGGGGCAAAGTAGGGGAGGGTTCGGCGTTGGGTGCCCGGCGCCGACGCTCATGGGGAGGAGTGTGGGACATCTCACCACAATCCCAGATGAGGGATGGCGCACACCCATTTCCTGGCTCGGCCCGTTCGGGCACTCGTGGCAGAAGTGACACGGTTGACAACACGTCCCTGCCCCACCCTCCCCTTGTCCAGCCAAACCCCTAACGATAGCAGCGTTCCCTTCGCCCTCACTCATCAAACAACAACAAAAAAGTAGATAACGGAACATAACTAACATAAAACCTTTGCAAAACGTACATAGTAAAATAGTGTAATCAAATGCAGCAAATAAAGGCAGTAGACAGGATGTATCAGTGGAAAAAAACCCTTGAATTTCACTATGTATATTCTTATTATATGTTGTATAAGCTATAATAGAATGCCAGCAAAGTCACAATATCATACAAAGTCACGGATATCATACAATATGAAAAAGTCTTTATTTTTTTATAGCAATTTAATATTTGCCTAGTAATTATTACTTTTTATGTTACTGTCATTACTGCTTATGTTACTATTATGTTACTTATTGGTATTGTTTATGTGACTGTACTACGTTGGGCATGGCCTAACATGCATTTGCTGTTAATCACTTGAGGACCCAGACGAGTGCTGTGCTACCTGTGTTATTTTTGTAGTCTGTTGGATTATTGTGAGTACAGAAGTACTAAGAAGCAGGTATGTGTTGCTTTTCTGTACATACATCCAGATGTGGTGAGAGGTGACATTCTAAGTTTCCGAAGCTGTTGAAAAGTGAGTGAATGGATGCTTTACTTCATGACATAAACAACAGAATTTGTTGATTAGATAGTTCTGAAAAGCTGAAGAGTCTGCAGCGGGACTGCAGGGTAAACTTGGTATCCAAACTCAAACACCAGTCTTTTTATCCTTTGTGTGGAAGGAATATAAGTGAATATTGTGACTGGATGACAGTCATAGTGCTATGAAATACTTGTATTTGGGTGAGATGATCCTGCTGGAGCCTCTCTGCCAGGCAACAGACCACAAAAATCACAGGAAAGGGACAGAAAAAGAGATAAAATTAATAAAGCATTTCAGTTCATGAAAATTTAAAGTTGTAGCTCAGGTGAGGTGACAGCTCTATAGACCCTAAGCAAATTAACTTCTCCTTAAGGAAAAGATTTATTAGATGGTGTAGCATTTTCCAGTGAGAAAAAAATCCAGAATGTGGCAGAAACATATTTGAAATCTCAACAGCCTACGGGCTGAGTAAACCCCACTGGTATCCTTATTTTGCTGGAAAGGTTAACATACCCGAGCCCAGCCTTGGGGCTTGTCACAGCTCTCCTTGTTAGGAGCAATCCATTAGATAGCAATTGTTTAAATTGTCAAACAGGGGAAAAGGCTTTGGGGAGCACTCACACAAGTGCTCACCCACCATCTGTAGGACTAGCAGTAATCACAGCCAAGGGAAAGGACTTGGAGGAATTATTGTAGTTATTATTTTAGTTGGCCTAGGTTTAGCAAGATGGGATTGTGTGCATGTTGCATGTTTGGTGCTAAACCTCTTGTGCATCTAAATGAGGAAGGGATTCAGATTAGTACTTTTGAGTGTTTCTGACCACCAGAAAATGAACTGAGGCAGAAAAATAAGAATTCTCCAAGCATGTTTGTAAAATACAACGTTTTGTAGAAGCCTGTTAATTTTTTGTTGGTGTGTTTGGCTTAGAAGGCAAAAAGGCGATTTTTCTAATGCATAGCAATTCCATCCCGTGGTCTGAAACTCTCCAACTCTTTCCACCCATTGTAATGATGAATTCTAATTACATCTTAGTTGACAGCTTTAGTGAAGAGCAGCTGACTAGAACCCATTCCAGTCCTAAATAGGCATTTTGGCTCTGAAGCGGTGACGGAAATAGAAAAGAGTGTTTTGACAGTGAAGTGCCACACAGTTTGTTTACTTTCAGTAGGTTCCTTAACTGTGAGAGGTTTCCCACCCATCTTCTCCCTCCTTCTGATATTGCTTTATATTTTCACATGTGCTTCGGTATTTCATTTGCAAAGCTGAGATGCACAGGGCAGACCCCTCTGTTCTTGATTTGCGTTGCCAAATCACCCCTCGTAGCTAATGGGTGTTTTCCTCAAGATGCAGAGTAGCAAGGGTAGCTTATTGTACATCACTTCAAAACTGTTTATATAAATGCAGTATCGTTAATCCATCTGATTACAGAGATGCCATGGATTTATTCTGTTTTTATTGTTCTTTAAATAAATTTACCCTTGAAGGCATGTATGTATGGACACTTGAGCTAATTAAAGCTCAAGGAAATATGAACATGTAGTTGAGTTTAGCAGCATCAATTACTTACTCCTGGACCCTTATAAGTGCTTTTATTACATGTTAAAACTTTTGGGTTTAGCAAACATATCTTCTGCCTGCCATGGGCACTAAGGCTATGATTTTGCTGTCCTGCATGAGATTGTGTTGCTATCAAACTAGTGTTGCTAATGGCATGTAGAACTCGTGGAAGTAAACAAGTGACTTAAACTAAGTACTTACTATATTTTTTTTTTCAACTTGCTCACCGTTAGTGTTTAGGTAAAAATAAAGCCCACAGCAATATTGAGGATTGCTCAATAAGCTGGTTTTTGTCCTGGAATTTAAGCAAAGAGATGTTTTTAGTTAACTTGCCATAGACTTTCTTTCTTTAGGTACAAAACTACAATGTAATATGAATAAAAATAAGACTGGGATTAGTTGAGAATTTATTTCCTGTTGAACTCCTAATAGGAACGAGAGAAGGCTCTTCATGCGTGTGTCTATCAGTCTGTATTTGCTTTGGAAAAATTCAGGAGTTGTGGATTACAAAGACTGCAGGGCATTAAGAGCATTTTGGAACATTTTTTTTTCTTGGATAAGAGTTCCCAAAGAGCAAATACAATCAACAAGTCAGTGACTGAACTTACGGGCTGTCAATATGTAGCATTAGTGCATCTCTCCTGCATGCTCTTTCAACTTCGCTAATATTTGAGGTTTAATTCCTTAGTGATACTAGTAACAATGTGGTGATAGATGAAGAATTCTCATACTGTGAGAATAATTCTGAAGAAAAGAGCCTTTCTATAGTATTTCTGAAGTGTTGCATTCATTGTGTCAGTCCTTGTTCTGTATAAGTAGTTTACTAATTTGGGAAGTCAAAGGGCTACATGGCCCATATTGCAGAGTGCCCCAGCCTTTCAGAGTCAATAATTCTTAATTTCTTTATAAAAAAAGCTCAGTAATGCAAATTTTCTCAATTTTGTATGAATTTTTGATTTATTGTTATTACTATGAAAGCATTTTTAACCTTACTCATCTGCATTGTATAGGAGGAATGTGGATCTGAATGGCACTCAGCATTTTTATAGATGTTCAAAAAAGCTGCACTGTAGGAAAAATATTTGCCTTTTACATATGTGGAGTTGGAAAGCCTAACTCCATAGTTAACCCTAATCCATAATCCATTAGGAGAGGCATTTTCATGATAGAAAGATAGATAAATGCAGAACTAGTGTCTGATATAATTTTTCTGGCAATCATCTGTTTCAGTATTGATAAAATAAGTTCTATTTCTACTTGACTACTAAATACAGTGTTCAAGTAATTTTAGGAAATGCTACATTTAAATACATCCCCCATCACCAAATAGGAGAGGAGATGCAAATTTGTGAGCTGCTTTTAACTTTTCTGAAAGATGCTTTGATGTATGGTGAAATAATCTCTAAATGAATGTTGAAGTTAATTGTAAAGGGAGGCCAAGCAAAGAGATCAATAGAACTATATACGAAGCTAAAACGCTTTTAAACAGGAAACAGTTATTTAAAGCACTAGTATAGATAGATTTAAGGTTTAGAAACAATATGCATGTGGTCATTCAGGAATATAAGAACACCACACTCAGTTCAAACACTGCTAAGAGTCTCTGTTACTGTCCGTATTTAATCGTAAATTTAAAATCCTGGCATGATATTTTGCTCAAGCTTCCCCCACCCCACCTGTTTTCTTTTCTTCCCTCTAGATTTATGGCATACACCATGGTGCATCTGTGCTGGAAGCTGTCCATCTGCTTTTTCTACTATCAAGTTGTCTCAGGAAGAGTCAGGAGGGAGGGGCATTATGTTGCCGCCGTGTATGAGCACGAGTCCATACTGAGTCCCAACCCGACAGCCCTGGTGGATCGGCGCTCCGCGCTGGATCTCATGGGCAAGAACCTCGACATCTACGAGCAGCAAGCAGTGGCTGCTGCCAGACAGGTATTGCCACAACTTGGAGCAGTTGTGGAATTTGAATGACTGATACTGTGACTGATCTAAATGGAATCCACCTCATTTTTAGGAACAGTTCAGGATATATGGAGTAGCTGCTGTTTGAAGATAATCTTTTACATTTGTGTTCCCAAGCAACTAAAGCTATATTTATGTACATAACTATGGTCTGGGTTTTCAGACACTCTGACCTGCCAGCAGCTCTGAAAAGAAAATCAGGCCAGTTAGCATCCCGCCTGGCGTGGGTTATTCCAAGCTTGGAAAAACACGCCTATAGTTATTTAGTATAGGGAAATTAATTTTCTATTTTGGTCTGAATACCTAGCTCCTTTCTGTTTTCTTAAATGGAATGTTTTCACTGAAAGATTGTCTTACGAGCAGCTGTCTTTGAGTTTGATTTTGTTCCAGTGCTCTCACTGGAAATTCTTGAATGTTTCTAAAAGCTAAGGAAGTTAAATGCTTTGGAAATTAGTGTTCCACCATTAACAGTTTTGTGGAACTAAAGTTTTCCATTCCTTTCTCCTACCCTACCGTGGAATGGTTCTCAGTCTAAATATACTTAGAGGAGAGAGACTAGTATTTCTGGCTATTCTTATGCAGAGCACCCTTTCTTTCCCTCACTGGAAAACCTGAAGCTGGTTCTGGTCAAAGGAAGCAACTGTTACTGTCCCTACACAGACAAGAAATGACCTGCAATTTTCACAGGTCTGTTGATTTGGGAGAGAATAGTTACCATTTTTGTATAATTTTTTTAGACATTCAGATGACTGTACAGAAACACTGTCAAGCTGTTTCTGAAATTAATAGTCCCAGTACCCCGTCCAACCCTATGTACCTAATCTATTAAGTGATGCTGCACTCACTTTTGATACAGGTGCAGCACCTTTGACAAAGTTCGTCTGCAAACAGCATAATTCTGATAAAAAAATTAAGACAAGTTTTTAACATCATTAGTCTTTAACCTGAATCACGTCATTCTCATGACTCGTGTGAAGGGAGAACACTTTTGGTGAGAACTGAGATGAAGTCCTGCTCTTATTTGCATGCCCTTAAAATAATGTCAAACACATTATTTTTCAGGATAAAGGTATGTGTCAGGTTAAATAAGATTTTTTTTTAATACACAATTACACCTGCTACATAGTTACACCTACTATGAAATCGAAGAAAAAATACTTTGAAGCTGCATTTTTGGCAAAACATAATTGGATTATACTTAACTTTCTTTAGCTCTTCCTACCCATGAGATCCCCTCTTTTCCTTTGCTTTGCCTACAAAACATGTATTTGTTTTACACACAGGGGGCACAGATCATTGTTTTTCCTGAAGATGGAATCCATGGCTTCAACTTCACCAGAAGCTCCATTTATCCTTACTTAGATTTCGTTCTGCATTCGCACTCTGGGAAGTGGAATCCGTGCAGAGAGCCCTATTTGTTCAATGACACAGAGGTAAACATAGGAGTGATTGATGTCTGCAGGAGTGGAATAACTAAATGCTAGGTTTGTGCTCCAGGTGGGAAGTAGCTCTAGTTGTTTTGCTCAGGGAAGTAAGCAGGAGGTTTAACAACTCGTAGTACCAGACTCTGTTTTCATGGATGCTCAGGTTATGCTGGTTTCGTTCTGTTTAGATATGTACACAAAGGCTCATACAGCTTTTGTGTGAGCCATCTGGATTTGTCATCTCCTCCTCCCAATCTCTGAAATGGTAATTACTCTTCTAGTAAGAGGCGTTGTGTGTGATTTTATTTTGAACAACACTGTTTTATATAAAACAACATAGTAGTATCTTTACTTTTGGTGCATTCTTGTTACTGGGGTTTAATGACTTGATGACACCGTAACATTCTGACTCAGTGGTCGGGGGTGGGGGGATGTGTGTGTTTGTGTGTGAAATGATCAGCACTAGTAACAGGACTTGATCTGCTACAATGTAATAGAAGTCACAGCTTGACACAGACCAAGCGTGATTACATAAGATGTGACCTCCACGTTACAAAAATAGTGTTTTCATTGGCTGTTCTGGACCCGAACTGAAAATAATCATGCTTAGTAATGCAGACTGTTAATTCTTATTAACCTTACAGTAGCCAACATAATGAAAGAAGTCTTGCATGTACCTACTAAGCAGAATTTGTGTGCTAACATGAATCTTGTAAGTTGTAAGTGATGACCTATTTTGGCCTATGAATCTTTACTACCCATGATCATGGCCAAGCAAGCAAGAAGTTGGTTGGCCAGTCAGACCCTGTTTGGAGATTGCAGTACTGGCAGTCTTGGGTACAGTGCTCTGTGATATGGAAGAAATATCCCAGTAATGCTGTGGTCTGTAACATCTTGTATTTCTTTTCTGTAACTATGCAAAATCTATTCATTTACATCTCTGCTTCTGTAAGTGCAGCTAGTATTTGCTTCTTAAAATTTTATAGTAAAAACATCCAGTTGCAGGAACAAGACATCACAGTTGCAAATGATCACTATTAGAAGTTCTAAAGGCACCCACAGATCAGTTGTGCTACCTTGGCAAAGCTTTCAGTTGACCTATGGTGTTTGAAAGCCATTGGTGGTCCTACAAGTCAGAAATTTCTGAAAATTAACAACCTTGAAATAGAGAGATTTATTTACTTACTTCTCAGGAAATGAAACCCATATATTTTTTTTCTGTTCTATTTTAAAATTAATATCCAAAATACTTTTCTGTCTACAAAGCTATTGGTTCCAGTAACTTTTGTCAAAAAATCATTAGTAATTTTAAATTTTACAGATATGGTCAAACATGCTCAATTTTGAACACAGTTGAAAGTAGTAATTTGAAAAGTATTAAATAACTCATAGGTGCTTAAGTAGAACGTATTCCTCCATTTTCTGAAGTGCTTACATTTCTCCATACTGTTTTCCAGGTTATTCAGCGTCTGAGCTGCATGGCACTGAAGAACAAAATATTCCTTGTGGCAAACTTAGGAACTAAGCAGCCCTGTGAACACACTGATCCTCACTGTCCACCTGATGGAAGGTACCAGTTCAACACCAACGTGGCGTTCGATGACGATGGTACCTTGGTAGCCACTTATCGCAAACACAACCTGTATTTCGAATACGCTTTTGATACCCCTCCAGAGCCTGATTATAAACACTTTGATACCCCTTTTGCTGGCAAGTTTGGCATGTTCACTTGCTTTGATATACTCTTTTTTGAGCCTGCAGTGAACCTCATCAGACAATACAATTTGAAACAAATTGTATATCCAACTGCCTGGATGAACCAGCTCCCGCTCTTGTCTGCTGTAGAATTTCAACAAGCTTTTGCAACAGCTTTCAATGTCAATATTTTAGCAGCTAATATCCACCACCCTACCTTGGGCATGACAGGGAGTGGGATATACACTCCAGTCAAATCCTTCATCTACCACAACATGGAAAGTTATGGTGGCAAGCTCATAGTAGCAGAAATTCCTGTGATTACCACGGATCATGAAACCAATTTGGAGAGTAATGAAAGATTCAGAGTGAACTTACATGACTCATGCAGGACTTTTACGAGCACCTTGCTGGATGATCAAGTTTGCTTTAAGGAGCAAGAAGAGACTCCTGGCAGAGTATCTGAAAAAGGAAATGAACAGTTACCTCCCCCATTTTATGCAGAAATGATGTATGACAACTTTACTTTCGTTCCTGTATGGGGGGAAAAAGGACAGCTCCAGGTTTGTGCCAATACCCTTTGTTGTTACTTAAATTATCAGAGAGCTGTTTTAACTGATGAATTATATGCTTTGGGAGTTTTTGATGGGCTCCATACAGTGCATGGCACATACTATGTCCAGGCCTGTGCGTTAGTGAAGTGTGGTGGTCTCAGCTTTAGCACTTGTGGACAGGAGGTTACAGATGCCACTGCTCTGATAGATTTCCAGCTATGGGGAAATATGAGTACCCCTTACATCTTTCCTTTGCTGCTGACGTCTGGTATTACCTTGGACTTTGCTGATCACATGGGCTGGAAAAACAACCACTATTTCATGAGCAAAAATAGAACATCTTCTGGCCTTCTGACAGCTGCTCTGTATGGACGATGGTATGAAAAGGACTAGCACAGATATTTGAGTCAGAAAACAACTGCCCGTACGTTCAGAGTATTTATCTTAACAGAAGTTGTTGAACATCCACACTTCCTAGAGGTCCAGGTGTGTTTGTTAAATGACTCACTGATTAGGTTCCACATTTGAAATGATAAGCAAAGCACCCTAAGAATCTGTAAGTACAGTCTGTACTGCGGTAGCTTATGTCTTACCAGAAGGGAAAGAACTGCCTTGCAAAGATAAAGGCTTGCTGTAATTTGGTGAGATGTTTTATATGGGGAAAACAGCTCATTTCAACTGAATTTGTTCCTTTTAATTTAATCCTTTCATTTTCTGGTGTTCTGGCTTGGAGTATGGAAATGAATGGAATGGAAAACTGTTGCAAGAGAAAAAAAAAAGGGAAGGAAGACACAAATACTGCGTGTGACATGCACAAAAATATGTAGGTATACATACATAGAGCTTGTATGTGCTGAGGTTCTGATTTTTGGTTAGGGTGCCATGATTCTTTTTTTTTCTTTCTTCTTTTTCTTCTTTTCTTTTCTTTCCCTGCTAAACTCCCAGTTTTTTCATATGCTTTTAGCAGTATCTGAATGTTACAGTTGTAAACATCTACAGAATATCTAATCTGGGGAAGAGGATATCAAATGCGTGTGAAAAACAAGACTGCAGTAAGACACAATTCCCAAGAAATTATGTTTACACAAAACATTGGCGATGAATATCAACAACATATCTTATGTACTGTTTGAGTACTTTAACTTCCCCTGTTTAGAAGAGAGGTAGGCCATTTCAAGACTGTTTTGACTTTAAGACGTCTTAACCATTGTTCATGAATTTATTCAAGAGGAGTTAGGAAAAGCACATAACGAACTGAGGGACAGCAAGGCTTTTACATCAGTGCTTCATGTACCAGATGGCAGGCTCGTGCTGCTGAGTGAGGAAAACACACCATTCTTTCCAGGGCAATAACTAGATTAAGTGCTATAACTGTTCTACTGCAGTGAAGAAGCCGGGAAGAAAATATTCAAAGGATATTAATTTGGCGTTAAATTCAGACAGGTTAATGCATTCTCAAGCATTGTAATGGTATGTGGTCTTACTGACTGTTATGACTTCATCTGCTAATAGCTGTTGAGTAATGGAATAAACACAACTGTTCCTTTGGTCCAGTCCTTGTGTTCCAGTTGCTCTGACTGTTAGTCAGGCCGAGAGGAGCAGAGCACTAACAGGAGACCTGTGAGTCTCCATTTTGGTGGTCTGAGTAGGTTCAAACTCAAATCACTATGGCAGGTACAAGTATGTGTGCTGAGAGGTGCTCCATCAGCTTCTGCTTTGAATGAACTCACTTTCTGGTTTCAGAAAGCAAAACAACGGAAAAATTGCTGAATTTCTACCTCAAGTTTTCTTAAATATTTACAAAGAATTATTATATAAATGTTAATGATAGGGGTGGTCTATCAAACCTTCCTTCTCCAACCTGTATCACTGTGAGTCAGGTCCTTGTCGAACACAGCTTTGATACAGGGGTACAATAGGTTTGTTTATCCTGCAGCATATGTTGGACAGATACATGGAGAGGGGAGTGTCTATATCTCATCAGGCATAAACTTGCTGATATAAAAGTAGGCCATTCCACCACAGGATTACTAAAAATCCTTGTTTGGCACCTGTAGTGGTGTTCTTGCTGAAGGCTGCACGAATTCCAGGATGTACAGAGTAGAAAAGAAAAGCATTTGCAGTGCTTATTCATTCTTCAGGTTCTAGGACCACACAACCAAGTCTGAAAGAATGGAACAATGAACAACTGGAGATTTCAGGACCCTCTGCTTTGGAGGCTGAAAAACATGCAGCTTTGTGCACTAAAATACTCTTTGGGATTTAGTTCCAAAGCACACCATTGTCACAGTAAGGCTAAACAAGTAAATAGCATTACACATATTTCCTATGCTTAAGGAAATAAAAAGTATTTATCTGTGAAATATTTGCACACTGTGTCCCACAGAGCCGTTCTAACTTGGAGTATATTAAAACTGTTAGAAAACAAGACCTTCTGGCCTTACTGTTTGCGTGGGGCATGTTTCTCTGCCCCCTCCCTGAGAAGAGCAGGCATTAAGTATTAGAGTGTGTTCTAATACCTTGTTCCCTTTGCCCAAAAAAAGCAGCCTTTAGCAAAGGAAAAGGTTGAACAGACAGTACCAGACACAATGGATCAACAGTGATTATCTACTCCCCCAGCCATCCTGATCTTTCAGTAACAACAGATGTATCCATTCTGAAATGGGGTGAGCAGGCAGTAACCTATGATGCTCACTACCACACATTGGTGGCTTTTGGAAGTCTGTGCTGGAGCAGCAATCCCAGCACTGCCCTGTTCCCAAACAACCCTGTATCCTCACTTACTGAGGTGTGAGAAGTCTTCAGCAAGGCTGACATTCACATTCGTAACATACTGTAATGCAACCCATCTTCTAATATCTTTTCAATGGACATAAAAAGTTTTATTAATGCTTTCTGAACCATTTCTGCCAGACAGTGGAACAAAACTGAACCAGAACACGAGGATCTTTTGACACATGGGAAGTACAGCTTTAAATCACTTCGTCTGTCAACTGAAGTGAAATCAGGATTTGGAAATTTGTACTGACACTAAAGGGACATCCTTTCTGAGACAGACAGCAGGGGATGGTGTCTTTAAGGGGCCTTGACACTGCTCCTAGGAAGGGAAAGACAGCCACAGAAACTGTCTGTCCAGGCAGGGTAACAGCATGCAAGTCAGACATGGAAGATTCCTCATAAGAGATCTGCTGCTTCGGGATTCACAGTGAGTTTTCCAGGTGGATGTGGGGATACTCTGCTTACAGTGAGAGAAAACACTGGAAAGCACACCAAAGGAACAGTTGGCAAACAGGACCTCGGAGTTAAGTTATCAAGAGGGATGTGAACAGGCTGAGGAACTAGTGACACACTGGTACAATCTGTTCACAATGCCCAAGTCGGCATAAGCTCATTTAGGCACATCTCGGCAAGTGAAAACCCCAAATATGCACAAGCTGAAGTGAGTGCTATCACTCCACGTTTTTAGTAAGTCAACAGCAATGGAAATACTTCAGAGTCACAGTGCTCTCCTTCCTCCCTGCCCTGGGAGAGTAGGTGTAGGCAACACAGGTCAGAACTCAGGGACAATAATGGTACCCACAGCAGATCAAACCAACCCTTGGTAGAAAACATTAGAAAGGTTCAACTCAGTAAGATGTTAATAGATTCTAAGACTTTTAAGAAAACTATGCAGGCAGCTTCAGTAACAAACCTTGGCAAGGAACAAGAAATACATGACAAAATAGGACATGAATCATTAAGGTATCTAATCTATTCTTTTGACATAAAAAGAACCCCTGAGACCTCCAGCCTTAAGCTTTCAGAACTAAGTCAGCTCCCAGGTACAATGAGAAGAAAACCTGCACGTCTGTCATTTGACAAGACTTGAAAGCAGGTTTTGTTCTGTTGTAAATCTGAACAGTGATAGTTCGAGCTGCTTCTGTTGAAATTTTAATGAAAAAAAAAAGAGAATGTAAGGTGTTTTTTTCCTCTTTAAATATTTAGTGACACTATCAATATGAAGCCAGTTTGAAAGGCTCTTTAGGTTCTCTATTATTCAACTATGTTTACAGTTACATGGTGAAAAACTGCAAGATTCCTTTCCCAACCTCAGCTTGAAAACTGCCAAAACGTAGCATGGAATGGAGGGAGCTTAGTTTATCCTAACATAAAATAACACACATCACACCAGGGAAGCATGGATAATTTAGATACTGCTTTATTTGAAGACAAATACAGTGCTAAAAAAATTGGGATAACAGGTTGGAAATAGCTGCAAGAAATCTTCAAGTACTGCAAGGAGGGATGTTCATCTTCTTCCCCTGTCAGGAATGTTCAGTTGCGAGATGAGTTGTAGAAACTGAAAATTTTAGTCACACTTGCAACTAATTTTCCCCCTGGAAAAGGAAACTGAAACACTCTTGATCTTCGTGGGCTCCAGGCAGCTGAACAACTTAACGAATTGCTCTTTCTGAGCCTGCCATTTCAGACCATTTTTCTCTCAGTAGGTCTGAGAAGACACACAGACTGGGGGCCTGGGTGACACTCACAATGTCCAGCCAGGTGTTTGCATCTCCTGTTAAGCAGTAAAATGAAGGGATTTTTGTAATAAGGCTTACAGATCATCATAAACACAACAGTAGGACTTTTCTTAAGAATAGCCAGTTATTTCATTATTTCAGATTAATGCACAGTGATATCTTTGCACTTAACATTCTTCAAAACATACAAATATTATAGTGAGAAAAGGACTCCAGAAAAAGCAAAAAGTCAATGCTATCAGCTAGCAAAGAGGCCTGCACTGCATCTCTTCACATTTCACAGAATCATAGAATATCCTGAGTTGGAAGGGACCCACAAAGATCATTGAAGTCCAACTCCTGGCCCTGCACATGATCACCCCAAGAATCAGACCACATTCCCGAGAGCTCCTAACACCTCAGGTTTCAGTCTGTAAAGTTTGAAGACCCATGTTTTATAAATTCTTATCTTGTCCAGTTTAGAGTCACAGCTACACACTTACATTCAAAACAGGTTTTTCAACCTAATCAGAATTCTTCTCCAACTGTCCTGTCAACCTCTGCAGCGTATTAAAGGATTATAAGGAAGTCATCACAAATCACTGAGATTACTACAAGAGGCAGTAACCACCTATCTTGGATTTAAGGATTTATATGAATTTCCTCGACCGACTTTAAGAATTTAAATACTTACTTTTTCCTGATATTAAAAGGAATTTTGCTGAGATTAAATCCAGATCTGTGGAGGTAGTGTTAAAAGTTTAACCTACTTATTAAGAGATTAATAAAGGCCCTTCTCTCCAAAGTTATTAGTCTAATTCCAACCAGGACAGGATTATCAGGAATCACTGTCATCAGGAATCAATGTTTTTTAAACAACAGTGCCATGGCATTTCCTTTTGGAAGTGGATATGTACCATCAGCAGAGGCCCAGAACAAAGTGGTGGGAGATGAGGAGAGTCCTCCTGCCAGGTCCTCCTGCTGCTCCTGCAGCTGGTACCTTGCCCACCCTGTGGTACACTGAGCCAAAGAGCACGGCCTCCAGTTCTCCAGAACTGCTGTTTCCATAAACACTTACCATTTTTATTTAGGTTTCAGGTTTTTAAGATGTGAACTTCACTGATCCAAACATGGAATTGAGTCGTATGGGCTCCCTGGAGACATCTAGAAGTGTTTAAAATGTCCCATGATTATGACAATCTTCTCACAAGTAAATGCTAACCAGTTCTTTGTGCAGTATTCACTGTTGCTTACAATCTTTCTATAGGGTGATCCTCTTACCCAGCTATTGCATGATCAACTGAAAGGTCATAACATTTTTTTTTTTCGTAAGAGAATCTGAGCTACCGAAACAGTTGTGTTATCTCCAACCAATTGCATTTAATGAACACTCTCTTAATTTTTTTTTAAACCAAAATGTAAATAGAGCATGTTATTCTGGATCACTGTGGTAGCTGTCTTTAAATGGACATAATATCTCAGCAGAGCAAGGCTAATTCCTCTCAAAACCAGAATTAATTTGGTTGGAGAATCTATAAACATTATCTCATGCTTCTTTTTAGTCATCTTTCCTACAGCTTTGGTAACAGCTTTGGTATCTTCAGTGCCCTTTTTGTAGATGTCAAAAGGAGCAAAACTTTGGATTTAAATATTAATTTTTCTTCAACCAAACATTTGTTAATTCTTTAGTCTGGTAATTTGTTAATTCTTTAGTCTATGTCCTGAAACCAGGACATAGACAATTGAGAATTTTTTAAAAAATATACAACCAGAAAAAACCATGAAACAACTGCAACCAAAATTTAAAAAAGTGCTTATTTCTAGCTCTGATTGTTCCACATTTATTTATACAATTATTTGGGAGACATCTAAGCATGTGAAGGTGATAAAAAGTAAAACAAGGAAATACAAAGCAGGAGACACAGAAGTCAAGATTTTATAAGGAATGACAAGACAATAGGGTTACTCTCGGGCATGTGGGGGGGGGCAAGACACACTGATTCCTTTTATCAGCATCCAGCATTCATGCTGCAAGACAGCACTCTAAAAGTAACAGCTCAGCCTATGAGGTTAATACTAACTGACTTGGCATTTTCTTCTGCAGAACATTTATCCTGAGAACTGAAAAACCCTTAAAACATCCCAGAAGTCAGAATATACAGAGAGCTGAGCGGAGCCAGCTGTCCTCATTCCTGGAGTCCATTTGATTTTCTTTTTTCCTCCAGGAAAAGTTTATTTTATTCTGATATATTGCTTTACTGGTCCAGCCAAGGCTCACTGTTCTCCCTTGGTGAAAATCCAAGAGATTGTTTGGATAAAGGCTATAAGAATAACTGTCCCATATTCGTCTGTACAAAATGAGCAAGATTTTAGAAAAATGGAGGCTCCAATGTAATTTTCTGGAAATGAACAGGCCTCCAACTGAGGTATGAACACTTTTTTTTTTTTTAAACCTCCCACCAGCCACCAACAGCATTATTTACTTTTCAGAAACAAGGAACCTGCTGTTCCTTGACCTCTCATTAAGAAAGTGGTCTCTGACCACATCTTTAAACAAATCACATTCCATTTTTGGAATTAGACCATTTTATGATAATAGTCTCACTTATCACTTACAAGGCACAATTACTGTCCTACCCATACAGCCAGGTAGTAATGAAGTTGTTTGTTTTAACAAATACATGCAAATTGCAATCTACAGGCTCACTTAGTAAATTGTAATGATGAGAGAGATAAGATACAAAACCATGTAATTCCGAATTCCTAAATGGTCTTAACAATTTGCAACAAAACCCCAAATATTTAGCTCTAAAAGTTCACAAAACCTAACTTAAAAATAATGCAATTTACCGCATAGAAATGGTTTTCTTCCTCAGAAGGTGAGTAGCAATGAAATGAAAGAAAGGCACAATTTCTGATCGACATAAGGAAACAAACATGTTCAACAGCACTGTTTCCTGCATTTCCCTGTATTCCATATCCAAATCTTTAATAAAAAAACAGTGCCATCTGAGCTTTTTCTCCTCCAGACACACAGTGGACATGGACAGCTCAGCCTCTACTGCACTGCTGATTATCCAGTAAGACTGGAGGGTCCCCTCCTATAAAGTGCCCTATGACTACAGACACCATACACTGAGGTAACAGGTCATCTTGGAGTCAGAGGTCAGCATAGATAATACAGGCCTAATAATATCATCTTCTCACAGTGCCTTTGAATCAACAGAATTCAGACAGTTTCAAGAACAGAAATATGCAGCTGTTACCTTTAAATAACAGAGACACTACTTGGTGTTCTCATTCAGATTTCCCACAAGCATATGAGGAAAAAAGTGGGTTCATGCTGCTTCAGCCTTTGAATTTAAATAGTTACAGTGAATCTCAAGACAGGCCAATATGGATCTTCGGAGAGTGCTGCCTGCATGCCCAGCTGAGGCATGTACATCACTCCCACACAGCCACACACGTGAGATTCAGAGGGAAGAAAGCACAGAAATCACGACCTCCCTGAAGTCATCTAATTCTGCTCACAGATAAACATATTGCATATATAAACAATGAACACAGGCACAAATGGTTAAGAAAGTAATAATTAAAAGGAAGCCTAAAGGAATAATGAAGTAATTTAACATTTAAAACTGCTTTAAATAGCTCACCTTGCTTCAGAACTAAAATGCTGGCAAAGTCTTTGTGAAGTAGATTTTATAAATTCTACCATTTCGACAAGAGACTTTGTCATTAATGCTTAGTACATACAAATAAATTATTCATTAGTAGAACTCAAATTTGCATTTTATTATACTCCATAAAATATACAGGATTCTTGAAGTACTGAAAGAGTGCAGGTAAATACAGTATTCAAGCAGCCACTATTTCTATGTACATGCTCATTAATTCTTCAAAAACCCCACAAAATTATCAAATAGATCAAAATATTGTCCCGTGTTTCCACACTATGTTCAGAAAAGCAGCTGTAATTTACAAACGTTTCCAGTTTCACAATACAAAAAAAAAAGGATAAAAATGAAATTGGAATCGGTTTGTAGTAATTTATTTGTACTTTGCCAGGACATGCAAGGATTCCTTGCATGTACATAAACAAATTCACTTGAAAAGTAACAGTTATAGTTAAAGCAGAGCCAAATAAAGTAAATATTCATATTTAACAGACAAAACTTCAGCTTACTTATGTCAGTTTTTCATTCTTCAGGCAATTAAAAAAAAAACAGAGTAGTCTGTTATAAATTAAAAAAAATATTTGGGCAAGTCTGAACTACGTTACAGGGACCTGTTTCTGCTGTTTATTTTCTAAATGGAGCACAACAAAGATACACAGCTCTTCCCACAGACCAGACACTGTACTTTTTTCTCTAATAGGGAAATATACTTTTAAATTCACCTCCCCCCCACTTTGTAACTCCGGGATTAAAAAAAAAAAAAGGTGATAGGGATATACAATTTTAATCTTACATACAAATTTATGATGTAAGGAAGTGGATAAATTATTGAAAAGAACTCTCAGCCACAACAGGGTTATCAAGACATTTCAATTCATTTTACGCATTTTCATAATTTCCAAGTTACTCGTGTATTTTTAAATTAAGAAAAATCTCAATCCAAAACCCAAGTTAAAAAATCCCTAAAACTGTGCAACAATTACTGCTTCCCTCCCACATCTCCCACCCCCTTCCCTTGTTTATTACACTGTACATTTTTCACCCTGACTTCACCTTGTTAGCTGGTTTAACTTCAGTATTATAAAAGTATGACAAGATCATTTTCATTTCACCTAAACGAAAAAGAAAATAAAACTTAAAAGTACATCTGCTTTCTTTCATGGTACATTTAATAGTGTCGGAAGGCTTTCAGAGAATTAAAAAAAATAAAATTCAACATTTAAACCCAAATCTAAGCTTCTTTTCCAGAAGTAATTAACGTTTGGTTGAAACAACTTCTCAAATAACCTATTCCAGTTTTCACAAAAATTTATTTAATTAAAAAAATCTTTAAGTTATTTGGTCCTTTGGCAATTTGCAGCACAAACAATGCCTACTGTACCAAACTCATTTATTGCCTTCAAAATGGTTTTAGTTTTATTGAGAATATTTAAATCTAGCATCCTTTGTGTTGAACAATAGTGTTGTTCATTTACATCAAGTCGGGTGCCCAGTCTGCAGGAATTACTCCCGGCACCAGAAACAGAATGGTATTAATACCGTTAAATAAAACAGTTTTGACATTCTTTTTTTTTTTTTTTTGCCATGGATTCCAAGTACTTATTCAAGAATTCATGCTTCTTCTGCAAAATATGCTCTTAAAAATCTTCCTAGAGTCTCACAGATTTTTTTTTTATGCAACCACAATAAAAACATCTTCTCAAAGGTCTGTCCTCTTTCTATATTCAAACACCACCAGCTTTCCAACAGCACAAGTCTGACCTTCCAGCGTGAGGGTTCACTCCTCAGACCTACAAAATGTAGCTTCTAGTATGTCTCAGAATCTGAGTCATTGAGCTCGTCGTCTTCTGTATATGGATAGCCACCTTCCCTGCCAATGTTGTTGAAAGTACAGTAAGAGCTGTGGTCACTCCTCATGATTGGCAAGGAATCAAAGGTGACAGTTTTTGAGGTGTTGGTGTAATGATTAATGGCATTGAAGGTAAGTGCAGGTAATGTGCTGCTTGATGAAACAGGCATCATGGTGGCCAGAATGAGAGCCAGGCAATCGGCCACATCCTTATTGGGTGCGCAGGCCAAAGCCGGTGTGTAACCTAGGAATTCGAGAAAAAGCAAAACCTTCAGTTAAAATAAAGACAACGCAAAAATTTCTCCAAGATCATATCATCTTTCAGCTGCAAAAGTATTTTATATTGCTTAGTTCCACACTGTTTAAAAAGTAAAAAAAATTTAATGCATTATCAATTAGGATTTTTAAACTTCTGGTTACAAAAACAAGCTCAAAGTTAATGGGCTTTGCAACAAAGATATAATTGTTTTGTTAAGCACAGTTAGATACTTTAGGCCAGCGAGAAAAGCCTGGATCTGAAAACAGTGAGGGAGTCACCTGGCTGAGGAGAGACAAGTAATGGCAGCCAACAGTGGGTGAAGGCATTCACTAAAGAGCCACTGCAGAAACCAGAGCTCATCGTGTTAAATGTTTCTTCATCCAGAAGCTTCCATCACAGCTGCTAGTCACAGACAGTTAATTTAATAATGCTGCCTTATCTCAGTAACAAGCTGGCTAAAGCAGCAGGGACAGTTAATTGAAAAGGCAGAGTATACACTGTCAATTAACCTATACTTTATTACAATATACAGTAATGTAAACTATAAAGCCAAAGCCTAACTTTATTTTGCAAGATATCAGTTAAGAAATCCACAGAAGTTTGAGGAAATGCCAGCTGGGTTAGCAGACTAGAACATGCAGAGACACCTCTTGGTTGCCCAACTGGTCCAGACAAACTACTGTGACAACCCCTAAATGCAAGAGGTCTCGGGACATGGAATGACCTGCAGTCAAGTCATATATAGCTGTGACATCTCTTCTGGGTAACCATGGCTCTAATAATCCTCAATACTGCTCCTTCTGCAGCTTCCCCCATTCCCTGTACTTGCCTCTATTCAGTCAATGTCAAGAAAAACGCTTCAAATTCTCAGTGGAGATCCGTGCATTGCTTCTGTTTCAAGCTTAACCATTCAGCATGGCACCTGAGGGTAAGTTCTGGCACAGGTCTCAAGTGTATCTACAGCACGAGGCACCACACTTGGTGGTGACACCGGCAGCTCTAGCAGCAGGGCAGTCATGTATGTACAACCACAGATCACAGCTTATTCTCCTGATCAGAGCGGGACAGGTTCCCTCTCCCTGGCTCCACCCAGCAGTGTGTGCCCAGATCACCCTGCAGCACCTTCCACTGCGTGCGACAGACATTCCCACAATGAGCTCAATAGGAGGACGCATGTTCAGGTACGTGTGGGAGTCTGCAGTCCTGTGCATTACCCCCAGTCCACAACTTAAAGGTGTACAACATCCAAGTAAAAAGCACACAAGTAATTTTAATTAACAGATGGCTTTAAAAAGCAAAGAGTATGATGGACTTCTATCCAGACCTTAGGAAGGCATGGAAAACAAGGCAATGCCTGTTTTACCAGTGAATGTTTCAACTACTAAGGAATCATCTTTATTGTAGAAGTAGATCAAGGTCAGATTTTAGGATAGAGCTCAGGAGCAGTTATTGTATTATACAATTGCATGTAAGTTTTAAAGAAATAGGCATATTATGGAAAATAATTGTAGCTAGAAATTCAGAAAACAGCAAGCAGGGGACAGTCTTGCAGTTGAACTATTATTTGCTCGGGACAGACCTTGTGCTTGATGCTTGGAACGGAGCAAGACAACAGTCCCTGCCCAAAGGAGCATACAATCCAAGGAAACACAGATAATTCAAGCACAAAACGCACCAGCTGACCATGCGATAGGGCCGTACAGAAGTGCAGCGCAGCAGATGTTTTCATTGTTAGTAAGGTACCACAGCACTTAAACAGCTCAGAGTTAACAGTGACAGTCTGCAGAAGAGATACATTTTGAGAGGATTCAGAAGCAAGGGCCAGAGCTTGCCACACTTGGATGATGACTGCATTTCAGGCATGTAAGGCAGAACAGAAGGCTCAGAACTGATACCCAGATGCACACCATTTAATATCTACAATTGCTGGAGGTTGTATGAAGGTAAGATGACACAAAAAGTAAGTTTATTCCAGTTGGTCATATTAAACACCATTTCTTTCCCTAATGTAATTTGATAATAGCTTAAAGAAGAAAAACAAGCAGTCACCTGCTACCTTTTTAGTTTCTTTTTGTTTGGCTCCCTCCCCCCCTTTTAAAGACTGCTAAGATCTTGAATATTCATACTTACATTCCTTCTAGAACAGAGCATCCCAGTTCATCATAAAAAAGGCCAGTGTAAAGATCAAACAGAATACTTGCTTTTGTTAAAAGTTCTTTGTTCACTAAAAACTGTGTTTATAATAATATTCAATTATAGGTCTTAAGCTCCTGGCTTTCATAAGCAGGAATGAAATATCACAGTTTTATTCTTGCCTTAGACATAGCTTGCACCACGAAAGTCTGACATCTGTGTCCTCTACCACTTTATTTTGGCCTATATTAATTTAAATTTAAAAGAACGAATTATATTTTTATGTCACTTAAATGTAAAATGATCATTCATATGTCAGGGCAACGATAGCTATAAATATTTTAAATTTTAAGAGTATGTTGGTAAACATATCGACTCCACTGAAATACTCCTACTCAATTCTGGTACAATGTTCCCCATATTCCGTACTTGCTGTACCTGCATAAGCCTTCACAAAACAACAAAATCACTATCATCATTTGTAGATGGGACAACAGAAGCACAGTGAGCTGAGGCAGCCTCCTTGCAGAACAGAAAAAGGAGCCTGTGTGATGGACACTGAATTAAGACTAGGGCTTCCCCTGCCCAAACACAGAGCTGCCCCCTCCCTACCCTGGGGGTTGAAAGTCTCCATGAAGACACCTACAGGAAAATTAGAGGGTTATTAATGCAGTGCAACAAGAGTTCCCAAGATAAACTCAAGGAACTGTTACACTGGAGAAGAGATGAGAGTCTGAGGAACTAGTCATCTTGTAAGCACTCGCAGAAAAATTCCTTCCAGAAAACTGGAACTCCAATATAAACTAGAATACAATGCTTGGAAAAGAACTAGAAAAAAAAGACAACAAAAACCCCAACACGCAGAAAACCTCAAAGCAAACCCCCTCCCCTTTTTTTTTAGAAAGCTTGAAAAGCCAATGATAACTGTAATGATGAATCTAGAAAGAGAAACCTCCATACTATGGAGTCTCCAGAAAATGCCTCCTCTCACTGCTGTGGTGCACGTGCATTTGACAAATAGAAGACAGACTATACCAGGAAATATAGCTAGCCTAGAAAGTTAAATAGACTACAGAACAAAAAAAAAATTGAGAAGTTGGTTGAGTGACCAAAAGTAAAACTTCATATGGTGTCAAATGAAAGAAAAAGCTAGTAATTTCTTTTAATACAGGTAAACTTACATAAATAATGTCAAATTCAACAGTATTTTGCAAATGCAAGTGATCTAAATTTCATCATGATTGGTGTGGAAACATGGGAAAAAACTGAAAGATGGGAATAAGAACTGATACAGAACTGAGAATGAACCCTCAACATGACTGCTTTTGGAAAGTATACTGGACAGTTAATTTGCTTTTTCAGTTGCATTTACTCTTTTAAGAACCAAGAGGATTAATTTTTTCCTGACATTAATTCTTAAACCAAAGTGATCTCACCACACTAACAAAAGCAGTGTGACTTCAAATCTAGAGTTTTAAATATCTTATAAATTATTTATAAACTGAAATGCAGGTAATTGGAGAGACATTGGGTTTTTTTCAAAGCTCATATTTTTCAACAATGATTATAGCTCAGATCCAGCAGCAGAGGACTCAATTTATACAGCTGTAGACACAAATAGAGACTGCTTGCAAAAAGTCAATGCAGCTTTTACAGAAAGGGACAATTTCAAAGACAAAAAGTGGATCATCACTCCATAACAACAAAGGTCCTGCTGGTTACATGTTCCATATATCAAGACATTCTTCCATGCAAAAGAGTGAAACTTTCTAAAATTAAAACTAAATTACCATTTAATCTAATTCTATCGGAAATGCCAAACTTGTGTGGCATTTCTGAATAAGATCTCCAAACTTATCTGGACTATGCTAAAGTAAGAGAATGTCAGTGTTGTGATCCAAAATACTCCAGTGCGTATTTCTTCAGTCAGAAAAAGAATTCCTGATGAATATTCTCAAGGTTGCTTAAAATTTTATAAACAAAGCAATTGCTAACAGAAAGAGAAGAACCACAGTGAAAAAAAGATAACACTCAGTTACTTTAAAATTTAAAATATGAACAGAATTAAAAAGAAGATTTTTAGATTCCCAGGCTGCCAGAGAACTTTGACACAAATGTTTTTCTTCTGTTATGTCAGAGATCCAAGGGATCTTTGTCTTACAAGGGACTGGCTGGTTGCACATCAGAAGCCCACAAAGATGCAAAGTTCTCCAGTCAGCATACATGTGATAAGAAACAGACATAAAACCGATATATTTTCCAATCTTTTAATTTTAGGGAGTTTCATTTAGCAGTTACCCCTGTCCCCTAATTTAGGCAAGGAATGATCTTTAAGTCACTCATGTGAATTTACGCAGTGTAATCTGAGAAACACACAGAGAAAGTCACTATGAACATAAAGAGAGGAAAAACTTTTCAAAGTGGAAATATAATTATAACTATTAATTAGGCATGTGCCTTCTGGAAAAAACCCAAAGGAAACAAACAAAAAATCCAACAAAAAGCAATCCACTCCCCAGTCCCAGCTACAGCTTTCATTTAAGACACATTGGGGTATGGCATAAGAGATGGAGCACACTTTCTGAGGACCACAGATGTCTTACATGAAAACACGCAAATTAAGTCAGTAGATCTATTTTTCTTTTGTTCTTACAAGGTGTATGATCTATTCTCATGATAAAACAGTTAATTTTTCTTACTTCTATGTGCAAAAAAACTCCAAAAAGCCAGAAGCTTGAGACCAGTAACTGAAAGCTGCTAATCATACTTGATATTTGCTTTTAAAAGCTAACCCTGATATACCTAGTGTGACAAAATGAATAGCAATTCAATCCAGCTTCTTAACAGCTGAGAGTTATATTTTACATCTAACACTATTTTTTTTGACCATTTTTGGTATGCCACAGCCAGTGCATTTCTAGGTGCATCATAAAACTACATTTATAGTGCATCATAAAACTACAAATGCAAACCAAACACTTTTAGGCCATGACCCGCACAGTTCTGAAAAGTTTTCACTATCCTTATACTTCTGCTGCTTTGCTAAAATGATCCATGACTAATGCATTTTCTTCTTTGGAGGACCTACTGCAAGGCTCATATGAAGTTTCCACAGAGTTATTGCTTTTCAGGGAGTTGAGTTTAGAACCACAGTTCCTTACAGGGAAACAAAGTTAAATTTTTCTTACCATTTTCATCTACAGCAAGTACACTTGCTCCCTTCCCTAAAAGCTCTTGAACTACAACCGTTAGTCCATTTCGAGCAGCAACATGCAGAGGTCTGTGAAGACAAGCAAACTCATATATAAACCTTAGAACAAGTTATTAAGTAAGATAGGTAGCTTGCATCTAGTTAGATGCAGTACTTATACTCCTGTGTTATTCACACATTATATAAATATCGTAGATATAATAATTAAGATGGGAAAAGCAGCCGATCTCTTTTCTTATTGCAAAGAAACTACAATACCAATTGTGAACCTTCTTCTTTTTATGGTAGCACACAGTGAGGAAGCAGCTGCTAGCAAAGACCTGCCTGCTTATGGACTTTATTATGTTAAAATGTCAGAAACGCCTCGCGCCCTACTGTTGATAAATCCTTCACTCAACTGTTGTAACAGATATTTTCACATCTGAGAGTTACTGCATATCACTGCATCAATCACTAGAACCCTAACAGCCGGATGGTAGTCATATTTTATTGCATGTAAATGCTTACAAGAGATACAAAAGCATTTAATCAATCTGTCTTTTAGAAACCACTATATTCCACTGAGATTAGAGATTAAAAAAATATTTCACAGTATAATGCATGAAGCGAGAAAAGCAGATTACTTTTCAAAACTTCAAACTATTAACTATAAATCAATTTTGTGTTGCCTTGATCTATGAAGGAAAGTGTAGCTTTATCTCAAATATTCTCTTTTTCAAATCCAAGTTTTTCAGAATTGGTTCCCACTGGCTTAAATAAAACCCTACCACCACTCAGCAGGAAACAGGATAAACAGCTTACTTCCCCTCTGCTCTATATTACTCTTCATTCATTCTAAGATTCTTAAAGTTGTTCAAGTTAACTGTGAACTATATTTTGAGTTGGAAACAAGTGCCTTACCTAGAGACCAGAAATGTAAAAGATACAAATAGGAGCAGCTGTACCTATGGTGCTTATATTAAAATATTAAAAATTCAAGAATTATCGCACACCATGGACATACTGAAAAATGTACTGTAATTAAAATAATTTTAATATAGAGACCAACAATTTTAATTCATATCTTGCCACAAAGAAGGACTTTGTTTAACTGTTCAGAAAGTCAATTTAGTTATTAAACATTTGTTAAAGCAGTGATATTTTAAACATCTGTTAAAACCTTGCAATTTATATAAACATTTCATGGAGGTGCAAATGTGTACCTATTTTCCCCCACGACATCTCTCGATCAGAGCCAAGGCACGTGGGTGGAATTACAAGAGCCTGTGGTACCGTACTTTCCCACTTCTGTTCCCATCTCATTTTTGTTTTCCTTCTCTCAAGACATCCTTGCTTCAAGCAGAAAGAGGCAATCAATCCCTTTCCTGCTTTCTGGTTATTTCAAGCTGCCTGAGGTGCACCATGGTGAGCAGCAAAAGCAAAGGAAGGAGTCTTACTATTTTAACTCCTTAGTTCAAGCAGATCTCAAGCAGATCTCAGGGAATAGCTGGAAGAACTGCAGGAGTTTAAATAAGACAAGATTCCAGAAGGGATGTAATGCCAGAACAATATTCGAGTTGCTTACAAGTTCCAGTGTTTTCTTTTTTTTTTTTCTAAATGATCTGTGATAGCATTATTAAAGCAGTGCAACAATTCATGTGCCTAACTTGGCTACACATGAGATATCAAGTATTGTCTGTAACACAAACATATTCTCTAAAAGGAAAAAACACGGAAGAGTCATTTTAATAGCCCATCCTGATTGGTATGACATACTATACATTTCTAAGCTTTCCTTATGATTTGGGCTAACAAAATAGGCTTAATTCTACTTGAGAGATCTTTAGGAACATTTAGGAATAGCGTATTCTCCATGATATTTAATAGCAGTGTTTCATCCTCAAAACATGAAATAGAAAGCATGCTGAAGAATAAAAGCACAGTTCAGGTAGTTGGTGTTTTTTTGTTTTAAGTAGCTATCTCTGAAGACCAAATCTTAGTTTGCCTTGAATGAGTCGTTAACTGAAGCGAATTTTAATTGAAAATTTGGATAATTTTTAAAAAAGAAAAATATTAGTTCACAGGTAATCTCAGTGGATTGCAGTAATTCCACACAGGAATCACAACAATGTTTTATTTATCATCCCTTTCACCCATCTAAAATTGGAACTTCAGGTATGAGCCAAACACCATTTCAATTCCAAGTCAATTTAACTTTTGGTACCTGATAAACAATTAAAATTCAACCAGTTTGGGGAAAAAAAAATCTGAAAAAGATGCCTCTTTATGAGCAAGATATACACCAAGAACTCATCCTTAAAATACCCTCACCGCTGATACGTACGTTTGCAAGGCTGCATTGGTGGCATTGATGAGGTTTCTATCCGTAATCTTCTCCAGTATTAACAAGGCACTAGTTTCATGACCCTTAAACACAGAACAAACATCTGTCATACAGCAAATACTCTTCACAAATTGCTTTGAATGCTTTTTCAAAGTCACAGTATTTTCAAACAGTGCTTGATAACACAAAGCGCAGCACTGGTAAGTCAGACCACACACACCTTGCTGCAAGCCAAATGGAGTGCTGTGTTCTTAGAACTGTCTTGCAAAGTCAGATCAGCCTTAGCACTGCTAACCAGCACCTCTGGGGAAATAAAGATTTGTATTAACTAAAAGCATATTCCTTAAAATCTAAATGGCTCACATTTGTGTAAAATGAAAACAGAGTTTTGACCAGATATGTTCACAAGAATGTTAACTATAAGGCTACTTCACCCACAGTAAGATTAACAAAGCTAAGAGCAGAGATATAAAAAGTTTTCTTTTTACCAACTGTATTCGTCTGTCCATTTTCTGCAGCCATCATTAAAGGTGTTTTCCCAGAAGAATCTACAGCATTTACTTGAGCACTGTGACCAAGCAGAAGCTGTAGACACTCAACGTGATCTGTAAAAGCTGCTGCATGCAGAGGAGTTCTACAAGAGAGCAAAAGAGAGTATGGCCATGTTCAGCCATGCTTTCTACTTTATTCAAAGGAACATCCTGACAGATCCTACAAATACAAAGGTCTGGGCAGTCCCTCCCACTGATCCTCTGCAATCAGTATTGCTGGAGTTGTGATTGCTGCCTTTAGAAAGTCACCTTCTAGTTTCAAATAATTCCCCCCCATGTAGTTTATAATAGAGATACAATTTCATTCAGAAAAATTAAAAGATGTATAAAATTATATCCACAAAGTGATACAATTTAAAACATGCTCTAACTTGCCTGTATAATGAAAAGCTAATCCAAGTTTATTAAATCAGAACAGGATTTTTAAAAATCCAAAATTTATTTCTAGCACAGAATAAAAAAAATAAACCTTCAGAGAATAAAACTGGGGAATGAGGAATTAACATAAGTAGCAAATACAAAAACCCCAAATGATTGAAGAATTAAGCACAGCCAAAGTATGACATTACAAACATTCTTTTGTGCATTTATACTCTTACCTTCCTTTCGAATCTGTTGAATTTACAATACCAGCACCTAGCGTATCAATTAACATTTCTGCAGCACCTTCATTGTCATTTATCCTATAATGAATTAAACAGGCTGTTATTTACAGAATGATAAATCTTTTGTTATATACAGCAATGAAATATATGAAGAATAATTTTACACTTCCTTACACAGCACAATGCAAGGGACTGAAAGAATTTCCTTCCATTTTCTGAAAAATTTCCTGTTCCAGAAGCAGCTCTACACAACTGTCATGACCTAAAGCAAATGTAAGAGTTAGGTATTACAAAAAAGGGAAAAGGTATAATGATGGATTACAACAAAAAATATATATCTAAATTAGATTAAGCAGTATTTTATTTCAAAGTTTCTAAGAAAGACTGGTTATATTCAACAGGACTAAGTTAAGGAACTAAGGTATTTTTAGAATCCTGAAAATCAAACTGTAAATTTTATTAAATTTAGAACGTGTCTCATGATGTCTGAAAAATATCCAGAACACTTAGTTTAATTCTTTACACCTTTGAATTTCAAACTCTTCTGTACATTCATCACTTTGTCTACATGAAAACATCTCCAGCATTTGAGCTTTATTTTTGTTCCACTGACTTGCTAAACCCAAAGAAAAATGAAGTCGATAGTCGTAACAAAATCTTAAAAAGAACACGTTCAACCCATCATACTAATATTTTAAAAATTCTATACCCTGCTGCTGGACAGGTAGCTAACAATGGTAACTATTTATTTGATCTTCAATGCCTATACATAGAATACCTTAGCTCAACATTCACTGATGTCTAAAGATTTGAATTTTCATAAGTCCTGTCAAATTTTCATCCTACAAATCAAGCATTTCTCTCAGTTCTGTTTTATTCAGAGATTGTCACTGCTGTGAAAATGGACCAAGCTGCAAGAGTTTAATTTTATGAATGTGATAGAGACGTTATTTTAGTTCAAATTATCACCCAGCTGCATCAGCTCAGTAGTTATTAACTTAATAATAATTGGAATAAACACTTACTTCTTCATTTTTCTCTATCATGTCACTCAGAGGTGAAATAAATGACAACCTCTACTACGTCAGAGATGAACATACAGAACAAAATCTTTAGCAAAGGAGCTGAATGAATTTCCTACCTTTTAAGGCCTCCCTCACTCTCAAATCCATGAAAAGTATCAGTGAAGAAAAAAATAAATTCTTATGCAATCACTTTTATATACTTTAGCTTCTTATGCCTATCATGGTTGATATGAAGCAAGTTTAAAAACAGATTTAATCTGAAAACATTCCTCCCAAGACTCCCTGTGAAGGTTATGTTTTTGGGATATGTGGCCCATTCTATTCAAGGATACTATGCTGAATTTCTTGAAAAACCTCCTTGAGGCATAAAACTAAGAAGACCATATATAAGAAAAATATAGGACAAAAATAAACATCTCTTATTATGTATTAGATGTTAATATATTCCTCTTCAAGATACCACATCCGTCATATTCTCCCATTGACTAATACAAACAGAAGGAGGACAGACTTTATATGTTGCTTTTCTACGGAGTAATAACTTCTACCTCAGTATAAACAAACACATTTAGAGCTGTATTTTAACTTGGCTGTATGTTACCATTATAGCAGGCCCAATGCAGTGATGTGTAGCCATGATTGTCTGCTATTGCAGGTACTGCATCCACTGATGTAGCTGACTGCAGGAGAGCTCCCAGAACACCTATATGGCCACAGGCAGCTGACAAGTGTATAGGGGTTCGTCCCCTACAGTCTCGTAGTAAGGACTTAGCACCATGTTGAAGCAATGCTTCCACACATTCCTCATGCCCGGTAACTGCCTGTAAGAGGGAGAGGAAAGAGCGAGTTGGAAAATATTCATGTATATAAGCCAAGGTGTATAACTAAAGCAAGCAAACCTCAGGCAAATCCTTGCATTTTTAATTAATAACAAAATAAGCAAAATCAGTTATTATTCTTAAACTTGAAAGCTGCCATTCTTTTGGAAAAATGGCAATGTCTTGTAATCTTGATGACAGAATATTTTCTTGGAATAACATGGAATGAACTGCTAATCTCTAGGGCTCATTCAATTGTCTCATCTGGCACAAACTACAAACAAAATATTTGGAATATGGCATGTATCACACTTTTCTTCCTCCCATAAACACTAACTCCCCACCCTCAACAAAAAGCTGTACTCCAGGACCTCTCCAATCAACACTTTACAGCAACATTAAGACACTCTAGAATTACAAAAGAATTCTGAGGGTAGGTTGCAAACAGGCAAAACCCAGCCTTTTGAATGCAACTAAAAAGACGATTAAAACTAAGAATGGCAAGATGAGAATAATGAGAAATTGAATACCACCACATACTAAATCTGTTCTTGAAATAAGGACGTATAAAACGCTCAAGAAAAGAGAAGGAATATTATCTTACCCCTCTATGCAATGCTGTCCTTCCCCACTTATCTTTGGCATCTACATTTGCTCCTTTGTTAAGGAGTGAATAAACGCAGTCCGTGTGCCCGTTGAGAACTGACATCATCAGAGGAGTCCTAAGCAGAGAGCAAAATACAGTGTAAGCTACCTGGAAATGTAACTGTTCAGCTGAGACTAGCACTCAGTTGAACTACAACAACTACTATCCTTCTGGTTAAAATTGTTAAAATTCATGTCATGAATGATCTCCTCTGCCACTACCTTCACTCTGAGAATGCCAGTCATTTGGTTTATAGATTCAAGAAAATAAATTCATATCCCCTAATTGCAAAGTCCTGATTCAGTTACTAGAATCCATTTTCTCAGCATCTAGACAATAAGACACATTTTAGTTCCCTCCCAACTGAACATTTTTCACTACCAACATTATGTTTATTGCAATACACACAGTTGTATTTGTCCAAATTCAAATATAATCTGTCTTTAAAATAATAAGTTAAAAATCACCACTGTAAAATATTTAGTTTGTCCTTTTATGAAATGCAATAACTTGTGAAGAATGGAATGTCTATCATTAAACTCACTGTCCATTTCCATCTTGAATGTCCACTGCATTCTGTGGTTCTGCATTTCCTATCAATAGCCGCAAACATTCTGAATGACCATTTGTAGCTGTAAAACATTATAAAAATAAGGGGTTTATATTAATTGGCTTTGAGTATATAGCTCAAACAGAGCACTAGCCTGCTCAGACTAAAGCCCATTAGCTTGAAAACTCATTGTACAGCTTTACCATTGTTATAACTTAAAATATGAACACTAGAAAATAATTTCAGAAATCAGGTATTCTCAACTGTACAGTATTAAAAATAATTGAGCCAAGCTGTCAATTGCCAACAATTTTTTTTTACATATAAATGAGATTGCACACATTAACCATAATTAGAATATATGCTTATATGACATCCACAAGAAGGAATAATTAAATATAGTAATTAGCATAAGTTTTGCTTGTTTTAAGGTACAGATAACCACATAACTAGCAAATGATATACAGATTTTGTTAACAAGTGTAGCATGAGCATAGTTATAAAATAATAACTGAAATCACACTTAGAAAGGGGAAGGAAATGTAATGTATAGATGTAATAAAGCAAGCAGTTAAAAGACATGGGGAAAAAAAAGAAACAAAAAATTGAGAAATCACATTTAAATGCAGCTCATGAAAGATAAATGATTGCTTCTTGGAACGGAAATTGTTTCTGACCTACAGCTGCAGTATTCAGTCCACATAAGAACAGCAACAATTCATGCTTCAGTAGCTGACAGAAATGCTAACACAAGTTAAGAAAGCTAAATCAAATAGAAGAATACAGCTTGTGCTCATGGACAACAAATAAAATGGTTAGAATGATGATATTTTGTATATAATGCTCTTTTAACAGCAACATTTCTGTAACAGCATTACTATAAATGTCAACTTTAATAAGCCTATTTTCAGAGAGAGAAAAAAATAAGAATAGAGTATGAATGCTAGACTCTGAGAAAGGTAGGCTTAGACATATTTTCTAGGATATTCAGCGAGAAAAGGACTGCTATTACCTTGAAAATGTTCAGGAGTCATTTAAATCCTTGGAAAAAAATCCAAGTAAATTTTCATGTCTCTTCGCAAAGTGTCAAAATTCTCCAAGACTCCAGTCATTTCTAGAAGTATTTTACTGCCAAGACAGGCAACACAATTCACCTATCTAAGTTTGGGCTGTGTGCTGACATCCATCAGCGCAGCTAGCTCAGCCAGTTGAATGGACAAGGACAACGTACCCTTCCAAAGGGAAGTGTGGAACAGCACTCCTTGAGCCAAACTGATTTACTAGATTAATAGTGCTTTCTACTCAAAACTGTTTCGTTATACTTTATCATCTATTCCTAAACATTGTTTCTTAGAACATTAATTAGACTTTGAAATACAAAGACGATCCACTTCAAAAGACAAAATTTTAGAAGTTAGAACATACCTGCAGCATGTATTGGAGTTCTCTTTACAACATAATCTTTCACCAAGATGGATGCTCCCTGATTAATGAGCACATCTACACATTCCACATGTCCCTTAAAGGCAGCAAGATCCAGTGGTGTCCTTCCATTGTTATTCCTCACATCAAGGTCCAGCAGTGACTGTACCAGCACTTCCAGAGCTTGATGGTGGCCATGATAGGCCTACAAGAATAAGAAAATTCTTCAGTTTTCCCATTCTTCACATTTTTTTTCTTTCTTACCAGGACTACATGAATGAAACCATTAAGATAGCATTTCTGTTTTAATATTTAGAAGAGGTACTGATATAGCACATAAGTAGTTACAACAGTTATGACTAATTTAAAAAATCCCACAATTTCAGCAAAAAGGTCGGTGGTTTTTTTCTCTATTTTATCTATCTTTTTTTTGTTTTATCCTTTCAGCATCTGCAACTACTTTCACAAGATCATCTGTCTTCAATTTGTAAAACTAAGTACTTTGAATACTGCATGTTTCATTGCTTTACGTCATAGTTACATCATACTGAGATTATTTGAAGTGAGGAGCATAAGCAAATTTAAGTAATTCCTGTTAGCTTTTTACATGAAGTATTTAAAAAATCCAGTAAAAAGAATACAGTACAAATAGCTGTCATTTACCAGTATTAAGGATTATTTTTTCCTTTGGCGATATATATACAGGTACTGCATGAGACTTACTCTATTTTCAGATAGTACAGTGTGGTTTTTCATTTGCCTGAAGTTCAGTGAAAAGATGAAAGCTACATATTCAGCTGCTTACTCTGTACTTTGAGTATATTTGTATAGACAGTTTCATCACTGTCCTACACTACTCTGTGAAAATCTTCCTTCAAGTATTAAGGAGAAATATTTCTCTTACTAAACAACAAGGAGAGTAAAACAATGTGGTCATTAAAAAAAAGTCATAATTACTTATAGAACAAGTCTTATAAAAATTTTCATTAGTATAAATTATAACAAATCTTAATTAGAAGATTCCACATGAAAGCTGTTCCATGAAGCAAGTTTCAAGTGAAATGCAAAAATCACCCTGTATACCTCATTCAGGAACATTAGGGCATATGTTTGCATTTTTATTGTTATTAAGCTATTTTGAAAAAATTCAGAATGGATAAACCTGTGCAACCACTGTGTTCCACTAGAAGAGCTGTCATCACTAAAGAACAAAACACTTACAGCTAAATGCAGTGGACTTATAGGTGCTCTGTTGTCTGAATCATTCAGCATGTCAGTACCTGATGTTTCCATTAGCTTTGAGAGAGAAAGTCAGAGTAAGTGCAAAACCCCTCATCTTTAAAAACACTTAGCAATAATTGCTATAGTTTCCAGTATACACAGCTTGAAAAGGAAAAAAACCAGGAAGAATAATATAAAATTACTATCTCCTGATCTCCATCAACCTTTTACAGAGTTTGAATTACAGTGACTGCAACCCTTCCCCCATATCCAGCCCCTAAGCCCAGTTGGTTAATTTTGCATAACAAAGCAATAATTAAATCAGAAACTAAGCTAAAATCATTTTTTCTGAAGCAGTCATATGAAATAATATAGATGAAATGTATACAAAGAGAAGACAAGGACAGGTGATAGCAGCAGAAAAAAATGAAAAACCAACCAACCAACCAAGTAAGCTTTTAGATTAGGTGAAACATCAGCAAGAAAACAATATGAAAGGCCAGAAGGCAGGACTGACTTCTCAGAACAGAAAAACATTTCTGAGAGAGAAAAATGGTCTCAAAAAAGGCAGAGGCAGTATGGCATTAAAATACCTATGTATATACATTTCTATCTGTTACTTTCAGATGTATCCAAAAGTTTTCATTCTGGGTCTTTTTCAAGACCATTTAATTGAGTACACAAGTAGAATTAAAACATTCAAAGTGGCTGAAGAACACAACATACATTCAAATCATGTTTTCATTATCACAGTTTTATGACATGGTCATACAATTGTTTAAGTAAAAAAGTACATGGCTTAAAAAATAATTTCCTATTTTAAAATTCCAAAGTGCAATTAAATCTAAATTGTAGTTGAAATTAAATAATATATTTATGCATTGAAGAAATGGTTGAATAAGTCTAAAAATAAGCATTATTTTTGAAATTACATGTTCTTTTTTGCTGTATAGCAGTACTTTAACAGTGAGAAATAATACACTTACAACATCTAGAGGTGTTTCGCTTGCAATCTGCAATTAAGAACAGTAAGAATTCATGTTTGAACACATTTGAATATAAAACTGCAACTGGAATAAAAATACTGAAACTGTATAACACAGCATATCAGATAACATATATATTTGTGCAAAAGGAGTAATAAAAAACTAACTAAGGCTTTATTATCTAAAATATCTGGCCAGTAGTTACTGTAACTACATGAATTAATTTTATAAAACACCCTTTCTTTACAGGTTTTCCCTATATTGTCATTTGCTCCTTCTAATGACCTTCATGAAATTTCTTAGTTCTTGATGGTTATTTTATTTCAGCCATCAGCAAAAAAAAATTAGAAGTATAGTCTAAGTTAAGAAACAAAACAAAACTAATATACCACATTCTCAACCAGAGGATGTCCTCTACTCATCTGAGAATGTATTATCTTTAAAGCCAGTATCCAGCATCTTAGCTCCTCACCTTCTTCTGTTTTAGGAATACCAAATGCTTAAATATTTATGCTTACAGAGGCTGAAAACCAATATTGACCCAGCTTACAGGTTTAGAACCAAGGTGGAAGAATGCCCTGGCCCCTCCATCACACTGTGTAAGAGCAGCTGTTACAGCTTTCATCTATGATACGTTTTCTTACCAATTCAAGACACAAGCGATGACCATAAGCCGCTGAATAATGAACTGCATTGTATCCTTGTTTGTCTCGGATCCCCGGATTGGCATCATTTCTTAGCAAGTATTCCAGGCACCTATTCAAATTGACATATGCAACCATGTATCTAAATGTTGAATTTCAACTTAATGCTAAGTGATAAATTGTTCCAATTCAACTGGAAAATAGAATACAGCACACAGGGACACTGATTTAATGTACAACATTGGCTAGGACTAGAAAACAGCTAACTCATTACATCAAAAGTTAAGGGCAATCACAAAACTTCCAAAATTTTAAAGACTCCTACTCTGCAGACATCCTCCTGCATCTTCTGAATTATCTGACTTGGTTAAAACTTGTGCTTCATGGCTATTTTTCTCCTAGATGACACAATTGCAGTTACCTTTCCTAATATCAATGATTACCATTTTTTATGTTTTTCTGCATCAGTACATTCTTTCATACTTATTGCAAAAGGAAGACAACCATGGTGGTATCCTGGAGTCACACACACATACACTTCCACAACCAGACACTAGTTTTTTGACTTGTTTATACAGTAAACAGACTTAGTTGTTTACATACTTATATCCTACCATTCCTTACTTTCACTACACAAAGTTATAAGGTAGAGCATGATCAGCACAGTTCCAACCACAGACACTCAGTCAGAAGGATGAAAAATAGGGGATTCAAATTAGCTCACTTTCTCCCTGGTTTTCTTTTTTTAAGAGACTCTATGTGTGCACAGTAAATTATTCCAATCAATAACTCTAATAATTCATAATTTTATGTTGTCTATTCAGCAACATTTTACAAAGTCACTATCACGACCTTGAACTTGTTGGTAAAGTCATTTGGTTTCCTGAACTGTACAACAGGCCAACATCCCTTCTCTCTGGGATCACTAAATACTTCTTTATCAGTTAAACAAAATGCATATGAAGATAAAAAATATATTATCCTGTCAAATCCAGCTTGGAATATCTCTTTCTTGACACAGTTTACCTAAAGGTCTCACAGATTACCATTATCAGTAGTGACAAATGGATATACTGAAAACATGAGGGTTCTAGTTCCCATTTATCTCATTGAAAATTGTTTGGTAGAAAGTTCAAGGGAATTTCAACATTTTTAGTTGTATGACATGGATATGCTGTGATGTCATGTGGAAACTTTCAAGAGGAGGTGGCAGATTTAGATTTGAGAGGCAGGAATCCTAACCTGCCCCCTGATCAATGCCATTAAGAGTGCAAACTTGATCATTCCAAACCCCAAGAAACCCCATTCAGTCCTTGGAGAAATACAGGCAGAAATCCTACAAAACCAGCCATCTCCTGAGGGAAGACAGCATGATGCTTCAACATCGGAATTCTGAGTTCCTTCAAGGAACAGCCTGGAGTCAGCAGATGGAACAGTGCAAATTCATCAGCTGAACGAGAACCAGTACCAGCCGCGATGAAATGGAAACACATTTCAGCACAAGTAAAACAGCTGTACCAGGTCAAGGGCCTGATAACCTCATGCACAACAACAGCTATTTGCTGAAGTAAGACCTGACATTTGCTTTGCAAACAAAGGTTGAAAGTAACAAACCAGGTGAGTGAAGATTAAAGGGGCAAAAAGCTGCAGGAAAATCTATGAACAAGGAAGTGTCTCATTACAGAGGACTCTGCCTCATTAAAAAGTTGAGACAAGTAGAAGCAACGCCAAGGTGCAGTCTGACTTTCATCATTTTGTGCCCAGCATAAAGGAGAATAGGACTTAAGCAGGTAGTGAGAAAAAGGTAAAAATGCTGAGTTTTAGAGAGTAACATATGTAACGTAAGATGTAAGTAACTTTACAATAAGTTCAGCATATCTAATAAAAAGCTACCTGTAAAGCACATCTACGTTTTTAAACCAATTAACTCAGGTTTTATTTGCCCAGTAAACAAATGCCTGGATTTCCTTAATGGCAACCACGCTAGCATGTTTTTATTTGAATTAAAATGGGATGAGATTTCTGAGAATTCAAAGACACGTCAATTTGTCTCATTAAGTAAAAATCACAGTTCTTACATTTTATTTGTCCACTCATCTTTCTTCGTTAATTTTAATCAGCGATTCTGTGTTAAAATTCATGGCTCATTAGTAAACTTTACACATCACTGGCCTTGGCTACCTAAATTTCTACACTTGTGTACCTTCTCTATGTGTGTGCTCACAAAACCCACAATACAGTAAATATGATGTAGGAAGCTAAGTCTACTAAAAATGCTCAAGTACCCATTCTTTCAGTGCAAACCAGATAATTACTTTTGATGTTTCTTTGCATCCAAGAAAGAGATTAACTTTGCATCTTCTGCATATTTAACTGTCCTCAACAGGTCTCTTAAAAAAAGAGATTAATCAAACTTTCTGAAAGCCCAGGTAAGTTAAATTTATTTCCCATATGCTTATTGGTGAACTGTCCATTAGAAAATTCTAACATAGAAACAGCATGGTTTTTTTCTCCCCTAAGATTCTGCTTATTGTACCTCATTCTGAAATCACGTTTTTCTCTCCAATCTTGTCAAAATGAGGCTTACTGGTGTTTGTTCCAGATCAGAAGCATTTGTTAAAGATACAGAAGAAATACTTCTAAACTGGAACAAACCAGAATATAATTTTCAACAAAAACATCCTCATCTCTAAACTCCGTCTTTAAAGATGTCTAAACAAAGAACGTAAAACCACACACAAATACATTTGGAATTTCTATATAGATGGCTTCCTGACATGTTTTTTCCCAGGCTTTATATTCCAACTGAATAATCATTTTAACTTAATTCCTGTTTTGAATATGAGTTGAGCAGCACTGGTTTTCCAGCTGTTACTAATCATCTTGCTGCATCAATATAAAAAGCTTCTCCTCAGGCCATTCTGCTTTGCAGTCTGTCTTCCAGAGACCCAAATGTTAATCAGAAGGGCAATACCACATGGGTCCCACAGACAATCCTTTGAGTTACCTCACAAAGTTCTGCAGTATTGTCATCACCATTCTCACTTGTGCCTTTTGTAAGACAGATGGCAAAACGATGTCATCTGAAGAACCATTAAAGTTTGGAGGTTTTCAGAGCAACGGGGAAGCTAAAATTAATCCTAGCTCAACTTGTAAGAGTGCAAAATTATCTCAGGAAACTCCAGCAGGGATTGAAAGTATATCTAAAAAGCAACAGTTTTATTTTGAAATTTGGCTTTACATAAAAAAGGAATGTTCTTCAAATGTAAGTTAAATGGCCACGATAATATTCTTTATTTAGCCTTCAAAACCCAAGTTATATGCCACCTCATTCCTATTGGCTACCTCACCTTTTAAAAGGTGCTGTATTAAAACAAGACAATATGGCACAAAGCAGCACTTCTCCAGTGAAGGAGTCACTGTATGCATGTGAAATGCACACCATGACCAGTACACATGAGTGTGTGCACAAGCAAGTGCTGCTCTTCTCGAGTCTCCTCAAGATATGCAACATCTGGAGCTTAAGTAACCTCATCAATTTTATGCTGTCTATATACACTTTGCATGACAGCTTTTAGGGCATTAATAAGCAGGTACAATATAACCATTAGTTACAAAATAAACATATGTAAGAGATTTCTGGATTTATGAAAGATTCTGGATGCATTTCATCAGTAAAAATGTAACTATATCACAAAAAATTTACGCTCTCAAGAGGTAGAGTTGTAATGCCAAATGGGACCATTTTAATCAGGTAACAAATGGAAGAAGCATCTTATATTGAAATGATGAGTTCATATATATCCTGCTGTAGGCCTACTGTAATTCACAGTCTAGCTTCACAGTGCATTCCTGACTAATTATGCAGATTTTTGGGGCAATATTAAGAACACTCCATAAAACACCATTCTTCATCAGAATTTGTTTGTAAAGCAAAATGACTCTACTGCTCAGAGCTGTCTTAATAACCCCCACAAAAGATATTTACCCAACCACTATACAGCAGATGGGATTAAAACCTCTATTCCCAATGAATTCCTGAATTAAGACATCTCCATTAGAGGACATAACAAAATTATTACAATACATTTTACTATCGTTCATTTTCCCCCCTCTGAAATATTTGTTACATAATGTACTTTATATACAATGAACAATACATTGTCAAGTTCCATCTCTAAAAATACAAAAAATGCATTTGGCAAATCTGAAGGCAGAGCACACATGACATTCACAGCTCAAATGTTCCTAATGAGAAAGGCTTTAGTACAAAGTATGCCACTTACTTCCCATCTGTGTCTGATGCAGCTGCATAGTGCAGAGGTGTACAACCCCTCTCATCAAGGTCATTCACACTAGCTCCAGATCCCACAAGGGCAAACAGGCACTGATAATTACAATTGGCAGCAGCATAATGGAGTGGAGTTCTTTAGTACACATTTAAATAAAAAGTACAATGGTAAATAACAGCAAAATAATATTATAGAGACAGAAAAAGCAAAATAAAGTGAAACTTAAATCCTCCTTACATTTTTAAACAAGTATTTGTGGTGAAGAATGCAATATTAAAATATGAAGTCATTTTCTAGGGACCATTTAATAATGCAGAACAGTATCTAGGGGATTTGCCAGCCAAAATATGCATAAACTTTGTATTAAAGGAAGCTTTATATGATTTTTCTTTTGTAAACTTGTAGAGGGAAATCAAGTTTACATTAGAAATATTATTTTCTGTTAAGTAATTTCAAGCCACATGGAAAAATATGGACAAATCAAAGAACTGCACAGCAACTAAGTGAATTAAAAGTAAAATACAACAATTAACAAACAGATGTTTTTGATAAACAGACTGGAATTTTGCCTAAGAGATGAAAGCATTATTTATTTATTTTTAACTATACTAACATAGCAGTCATTGAAAGAAAAAATTTAAAATATACCTTGTCTTCTTACAACAAAACCATGAAATATTAATACTGATGTATAATCTCAGAGAAAACTTTTCACAGCTTTAAATACATAAACAATCTCTAAATAAACTAGTTTGGCTAAAATTTCAAAAGGATCAAGATGACTCAGAACTCCACTTTTATTTTTAAAAAGAGACTGCTGCTATAAATATCTCAATTTCGAGAAGACAGTCAGGCACTTTAAAGTGTCCCACCTCTTCCATCACTCTTAATATTACTTTTCCCCATTTCTCTCCATTTTAAACGACTTGAATATTTTCCATCTCATGAAATAATTGCTCTATATAACATGCACGTTAAACCAAAATCCAAACCAGGAAAGAAAAACAACTTTCAATTACATAAGTTGTGACAGACAGTTGTTCCTTTCTCAGGAAATAACGGAAGTGGAATTTAAAGCAAAATACAACTTTGGATCCATAACATTGTCCTCAATTCCTACTTCTGCTGTTCACATCCTGGAAAATCATATTTTCCATGACGTGACACGGTATTTTACACAAGTACTGATCATGCCATCTGAACTTAAATAATCCTGTACTAAGAATAGAAATTAATGTCATTCCAAAAGGGTTTAGAGCTTAAACAGGGAAACAGAAAGGGATGGATATAATGAAAGGAAAAAGGGGAAGCACTTAGAATAAAATAATGAATATTTTTAATAAAAAAGCTTAGAAATAGCAACAGATTTATAGATTTGACTAATACGTTATTTGGAAAACATTACTCATGTCCTCCGATGAGAGCAACTTAAACACACAAGATCCACATTATAAGCAAAAAAAGGCACATAAAAGTTACAGTTGAATACAAAACTCAGTCTTTAAAAACAAGACAAAACATCTACTTAACAAAACACAATAAACAAACTATATTTGTGATTTCTGATGTTGAAGCACGGTTTATTAGAGACATTGTATCTTAAAAAAACATTTAGCCTGGAACACACAGACTTGCCCACACAGCAATATGCTACTTCTGCAATACTTTTAACAGCCCTTTACAGTATACAAATCTAGAATGTCTTACCTTCCAAATCTGTCCTTTTTGTTGAAGTCTGCACCAGTATTTAGCAGAAGATTTAGGCACTCCAAATTCCTATTAAATTAATGCACTATTACTCATGATTGCAAATTTTACTTCTTAGTCTTGGCCTCTATGAATATCAGAACTGCTACACATGTACATCTCATATGTTATAATACGAAATTTTTGATAAATACATTTCTGAATGTAAAACAGATTTTATAATTGCTGGACCAAATCAGTAAAGAACATAAATTACATCAAGACCACATATATAAATTTTATTGATATCAAATAGCATGCATAAAGCACATAAACATGAATGTAATTCAATAAAAAATTTCAATTCTTGTAAACAAACAAACAATAACACCTGCATGACACATGCTTTTTGCTACCAGGATTCCAGCACAGAGGCAAGTTTTTACTGCATGTTTTTTAAGGCCAAGTATAAGTTACAACATAAATATTTTACTTTTTCGCATAATCAATTTTCAATAAAATATGATCATCATAATAGATGTACAATACTTTATTGTTTAAACACTACCTTGGTAACTTTCCTAAAGTGGAGATGAATGAGAGAATGTGTCACAAATTACGTGTTTTCATATGAAAAGACAGCATTTTAACCTTAATCACTTGCAACAAGGATGTATCTATCAAGTATCTTTTGACTTGGAATGATTACTTAACACTATTACTTAAACAACATTCCAACACAAAACTGAAAATATCAATATGATGGAGTTCCTGTGTCCCACAGAGCGTGTCAGGAAATTTATTACCCAATTCTTCCAGGCAATTTTGAGTAGGTGCTATAGAAAATCTACAATACAATAATTACAATACAGTAATCAATATGGATCACAACTGATGAGCAAGTAGTTCTGACTACTTCATCCACCCAAACTCTGGAATTTAATTATTGCTTTTAATTTAGTTAGATCATCTTTTGTTTATGGATTTGGTAAAAACAAATTTCCCAAAGTTGCTGTTTTCCACCTCATGTTCTACAGTGATTTGAGGTGGGCATGCCATTTTTCAATGCTGTAAATTCTAAAAATGATATAATCATCCATGGAAATTAAAAAAAAGTAATTTCATCCCCAAACATAAACCTAAGGTAAGGCTGATGATACCTGGACACTGTATTCCAGCAATTACATATTGAGCTGAATAGTTAATTTATTTGTATTGATTGCAGATAGAATCCCTCTTGAAATTATTTTAATCTTTACATAAATTCCAAGGGGAGCACAGAGAGGAACTACTAAAAAAAGAGCAGGAACGATCAATTGAAAAAATAACAATAAATATGAAAGCACGAATGCTTTGTTGCATACCCTCCAGCTGCAGCTGCATGAAGACAAGTCCTGCCAAAGTCATCTGGTGTGTCAATGTCAAAACCTACAAAACAAATATTTTGTAAAATCATTATGTAACATCACCTTTCACAAAACTGCTGTCATCTACTGCTAAGAGAAATGCTTGCTAAGCAAACTTAACACCTATTTGCAAAAAAGCACTCAAGCATTAAAAATTGCTTCATTTGAAACATGTCCTTGCTATTTGCAAGGTTTTGAAAAACAGGCATTTAAATAAAACAAAGGGATCAAAAATGTAACTGCAATTTCATATCTAACCATATATTTTAACACAAAGATTAATATTTAAATCAGGTTTCAAAGGTACATTTTTGGTTTGAAAGAACTGCTATACTCTCCTAAGTCTTGCTCTTGTGTAATGTAACTTATTCATTCAATCTCCAGTTTTTGTACCTGGGATAGCTGGCAATTTTTTTAGCTTTTTAAGAACTGTTCAACAACAATAAATAATGAACAACACAGGATATCTTATCCAAGAGTGCTATTTTTTCAAGATTGTTTTCCTACTCCATGTCCCATAAAACAGGTTTTGTAGGCACCACACTATGTTCTCCTCTCATTTCAATAGGCAATGCTATATGGCAAACAATTTAAAAGTTTACTAATTTGATTTGAAAAGTAGCCTTTGATGTTTTTTCACAGGTTGCTTGTCCGCACCACTAACTACTTAAATGTCATTCAGTACTGGAACAAGGAAGAATGGTGTTTTGTTAAGGTCTGCACATAAATATTAATTAATTTTAAAATCAGAGATCCCTAATTTACAGAAAGGAGACTTTTCCTCCCAAAACCAAGAGGGGCACATCGTCTGCAGATATCAATCTCCACATCAACAGCACATGCTAACATGCTGTTAGCAGTATCTGGTCTTTCCAGCCTGAAGGCTGAACATATTCATATCTGCTCCAGGCTAGATTTACATTCAAGTTTGCTCAACTCATGTAAAACTCACAGAAATCACTTGCAAGTCTTCTGCAGGGTTTCCTTTGCCATGCTGAATTTCTAGTAAGGGCACGACTAGCATAACATCGCATTTTGAAAGAGCCAGAATATCCCTCATTTTGAACACATCCAATCGAAATATTGTCAATTATTGGACAGTCCTTTCCTGGGGTGAATCCCTGCAAGCTTGCCCAGGACAGGACAGTAAATAAAAAGCCTCACCAGTAGGTAGTTTTAGTTATATTCCTTTAGCTCTTCTCCCAGGCTTCCCTAACAAACAATATAAAGCTGGGGAAGAAACTTGTTACTTTTCCCCAACTCTCTCCTCCCCACTTTTCTTTTTTCAAAAAACCTTAAGTGACTTCAGATTAATAAAGAACTATTTAGTTTATTCTTACTTTTTTTTGTTCCTGAAGTTCCCTTTGGACAAATCTATTTTCTCAGAATTGTAATGGTTCAAAGAGCTTAGAATTCACATCAGACTCTGGCCAACAAGGGAAGTAATGACCTTACAACCTCCACCACTTCAGGGAGGAGTCAAGCAATGAAGGAAAAGAGCAGTTTGCATTGCCTGTGATTAACAACACACCACCAATGCAATAGCTTCTTAATGCAGCAGTCCACAGAGTCTTCAGAGCTATCAGGGGCCCACTTCGGGAATAGGTAGGAATAGACTGATCTGTACAAAGCTAAAAACATCATGGAAGAGAAATAGGAGGATGCTCTATGAAGTCAGAACATCGTTCTCCTTGAAGTTTCATTATAGTCTGAGCCAGTCATCCCACCTCTGTAGCCAACTCAAAATGCACAAACACAACATTAAAAAACTTACAAACACATTATTACAATTTGGATTACTTTTTTTAATTACTTCTGCAAACGTTTGCATTAACTTTAACTCTGGACTGTCCATTAAAAAACAAGCACCAAGTTTCTAGTAAACTATAAAGATTTTTATGTATTACTAAACTAAGATTTATTTAAAAGCTACTCTATGAAATAAAGAACGAAGTGCAAAACACATATAAGAATTTAAAAGAGTGTCTTACCTGATGAGAGGAGCTTTCTGCAGCAGTCTGAAAATCCACTTAATGCTGCCAAATGGAGAGGAAACATCCCATGTATACCCCGCCTAAGATACACCATAATCAGGTATCACAGTTTCATTACAAGTAAAATAAAACAAACATGATTGTGTGCAAAGTGCACATGCATCGTGGATTCAGCAAACTACCTAATTAGAATACTGAGCTAAATTCACATATTAAAGGCTTTCTTACAAGCTATCAGAATGCACTAAATCAGTACAATAGCCTATTAAAACTTTCAAAGATTTTACTTCAAATACATAAAAGGAAAATCTATTTCTCTTTTTCTTGGTACAAACTGTGATGTACTGAGTAGCTACTTTAAAGAACAGTACAGGATAATCCTATTTCAAGTTGAAGATGATATTAAAAATCATACTAGTCTTGTTACTATAATAAATACATTTCTAAATTCTCCCAGTTTGCCTTCATGTCAGTAAAGTTACCTACTTTGCAGTGTCAGCACCACTCGTAATCAGTGTGTTGATTAATAGCTCATGGCCATATCTAGCTGCTATGTGCAAAGGGGTATTTCCATTCTTATCTTCACAGTCTATTTCAGCTCCTATAATAAAAAGTAATTACTAAGTAAGAATATATGTAGGCATACAGACACCTTTGTTAGAAAAATAGCACTGATGATAATTTGAGGGACATTAATAATAGTCAATGAATAACTACTTTGGATTTAAACCCTACACAGCTTCCAGTTGTATTAGGTAGTTATAACAAGAAAAATAGAGAAAAGCACTGTATTATGAAACCATATGGGACAAACTTTCTACAACCCAGGAAGAGAAATCTATATATTTTCCAGCATTCTGAAAGAAAAACAGTTCTTCAGTGTAACTTATCAAAATTTATAAGCAGGTATGCCAGACCCACCAGTGTCTGTTACTGGGCACTGCATCTGAAAAAAATTTTGTACATTGCTACCCATACAAGAGGACAAAAATATCTGTAATACTGGAAAGCTGATGACAGAACTGCTCCCTCCCCCTTTTTACCATTTTGAATGATGGTTTGGGATCTTGAAAATCTACCATGGATGGCTGTCATGTGCAAAGGTGTTTTCCCATCTTTACTCTGGAAAAGAAAAAAACAACCCCTGTGTTTACTTATGGCCAATAAGAGTAATCCATCAGAACAGACAAAAAAAAAAAAAAAGATGTTGTTTTCATTCTTGTTTCCCCTCTATTCCATCCTTTAAATTTTAAAATTGTTTCTATGCACTTCTGTCAGACAGATGCTGGCAATGACAAGTCAGCATGACAGACATAGTAAGCTTTTCACAAGAGCTGCACTTAGTCACTCTTCCAGCTGTGAGTGACAACTCAGTGATGCCCACTCACTCACACTTATGTCTTTAAGATAACTCTCAAGAGGATGATGACAGCACACAACTTTGGCAAAAAGCCTATGTCCAACTCTTCCCCTGCCCAAGTCTAAAATAAAACAATGCTTTAAGTTTGTTTCTTGAAAGAAAGTAGCTGTATTTCCTACAGAGTGAATTACACAGAGTAAATTACACATTATATTAGAAGATAAAAAGCTCATGTGTTTCTTGGCAATTTCTGTAAAGGGATGTTTGTAAGCAATTTATCATAAACCACAAGTTATCCCAGGGTAAATGTATTCAACCCTAATTGGTACTATACATTTGAAATGCACATCTTAAATGTGCGCTTACTCATTCACCCAGTAAAGATGTCCTTTAAGTAGGCCAACAGCAATGCATAAGGAAACTTCAAATTTTAACAGCTCAATCTCAATGCAGTTACAAATCCATTTTTTCTGTTATTATTACTTTAGGATGATTTTCCCCTTGTACTTTTTCACAGGTAATGGGAAAGTTTTACTGCAGAAAAAGGTTCCTACAAATGCACACAAAAAATTGCAAACATGACAAGAAAATAAAAGGACTCTTAAAATGCACATGTGTACTGCATCTTTAAATTTTAAATGTTGGCTTTGAAGAGTGTGAAATGTTCATAAAACACAAAGTTAAAAAGGACAAAGATGGTAGGGGGAAGATAAAATATGAACATATGCATTGAAATATCACAAATTGCTGTCATGTGCAGAAGTGACTTCCCACCTTTACTCTCCCATTGAAATCAAATGACAAAGCTTCTACGGATGTGTTACTGAAAGTCTGCTGGAGACCCTTTTAGGGAAAGATGGACGTGGAATTTTCAGTTTTGTCACTGCACAGAGCAGCATACACCACCTACAACAATGCTATTATAGAAAACATTGTCTTCTCAGACCTAGACTGAAAGAAATAAAACTTGATAATGAAAGTCAAGTTATCTCCACATCTTTTAGCTAGTAGATTTCTTTGACCATAAATAATCCAAAACACAACATCCACATATCATAGCAGATGCAAATAAGCACAGAAAATGGGGTCAATTGTACAATCAATTTTAATTCTGTCATCGGAGGCCTTAAGAAAAGGCCAAATACATCATAAGTGACATCTTCCCCAAGCAATCTCTATGCTCTGATTTTCTTTCATCTTTCTCCCTATGGTTTAGTTCTCCTCTCTTTAGCCAACCATTAACATTCTCTGTGTCCAATTACTTTCCTCCTTTAAAACAACTGTTACACATCTGATGTCTCTTTCCCTTACTTTTCTCCTTCTTTAACCTGGAGAATCTATTAATTTAAAGAAAAATTATCACATAAAATAAGCTTAGTGAAGTAACAGACAGAAGAACTTTAGGGCTCAGATAAAGTAGCCTGCAGTCTCACTGGCTCAGATGGAATAAATATGTATCTCAAAGGAAGGCTAATGAAAAGAAAGAAAATGGAGTTGGAGCTGAAAAAAAAGCAGATTCAAGTCTCAGTGAGTACACTAATAAAATACCTTACAAGGACATAAGAATAACTTAAGGTGACAGTATCAGAAACTAAAGAGCACGGTCATCAAGTGAGAACCCTCACAAGACAACTTCAGGGAGATCTTGTAAAGAACAGCAAAATAAGCTACAAAATCGTTTTCCAGTTGTAAATGAAAAACCACAGTACCATCAATAACAGATTTATAGATTTACTCTGTTCAAATTTACTTAAAAATCCACTTAACACAGATGTCTAAGACAATAGATTTGATTGTCCACAGTGCCTCTCTCATGTGTAAGTCTCATATTCCTTTCCAGCTCAGGAATAATATAACACACAATTGTCTATCAACATATAAACACAGAACTGGTATAAAATTAAATGAAGATGATAATTCCCATGTTGAAGCCAAACTGCTAGATATAGGATTGCATTCAGAATTCCCCTCTAAGACATTGTCACTAGGGAAGGATATACAGAGTCAGAACCAGTAGCCAACTATTTCTTCAAGCAATGAAACAGGAAAGCACTATTTATTGAGCAAAGCACTATTTCCTGAGATGCCAGGAGGTTGGACTGCATAAGAAGATAGGTATCTTCAGAACTTTTGCTCCAATTTCCCTTTCTTTATGCCTTTAAGGCCTTCTATCTAAATATCAATCTAACTACAGCTGTGTGATTTTATGAGGTCAGCCAGGATCACAGCACAAGAAGAACAGCTATGGGCTAATGCTAACTTTTGTTGTCTTCAGTGAACCTCAATTAAACATGGTAATAGGAAAGATATCACCCAAGTCTCCTCTATCACTACAGAAAACATTTACACAAAATACTTTAGATAATTTTCTTTTGCTAAGAACAATTTGCCAAGAACAGTACTTGTCAGAAATAACACACAGCACAATGTGTCCTATCGAGTGATTACTCAGATATTAAATGTACTCAAGACTTCTGAGCTCTGCTGAGGGTCAAGGGAAATGTGGATCTATCATGTCGCAGCATTCTTCCAAGTGAAATCTCACCCTAGCAACAGTTCTGTTCTAGTACCACCAATGCAAGTAAAAAACTTTTTCTATTTAGGTCACCAAACTTTCAAGCAGCAAAGGGGCCCATAAAACAATTAATACTGTCCCATTACATACTTATTTCAATGTGTTCTTCCATGCATGGAAATCCTGAATAGTGAGGAGAGAGGGCTGCAGTAATGAGCAATACTTAACAAGATTCACTGTTCCACAGTGGACACTGCCAAGGCTACGAAAACAAGCAGGAAATTATGTCCTCTGCCAACAGAGGTGACAAAAAGCATATAACATATTTCTACTGTTCTATTATCTTCTGCCACATAATCTGTTCTCCATATGAGGCCAGCACTCACAGACACGCACAAGAACTTACCCTCCATCTGCCATCAAGAATAAGAGTGTTTCCCTTTTGCTCTCCCCATTGCCACTCACAGCAGAAAGTGCTCTAATAGTACTGTCTAGTCTGCACCTAGATTGCCACCCATAACCCCTGTTACCTCTAACAACACAGAAACAGTTGCACATGGGACGAAATTATTGTACCAGCTTACACAAGCAATATAGTTATGATGAAAAATAGATCTTATGACCATTTTAAGAACTACTTTGAACTTAGACCTCAGTATTTGGAAACAGAACAGAACACTGGTTTCACTAAATACTTAGTAAGAAAGCCCTAATTCCATCTCATTTTAATTCCACAATTTATTCTTATCTACACAACATACTAGGTTTTTTTTAAGGACTGGTTAATCCAACATTTATCTTTATAGGCCTTTCCAGGGAAGCAGAAGTTGACTTAGAAATTATTTTCTTTTGCCTCAGTTCTTGCACTTTTCGACAGTGCAAGTGATACATTTTCATATACCAAGTAAGGCTGTTCACACCTTCAGGTGCAAATTTACAGGCCAAATTCTGTCATACTGGTATAAATACACAGAAATGCTATTAAAAGAATTACAATGGAAACATCTTGATTACGAAACAGGATAAATGCTGTTTTCAAGCTTAAAATCCTTACACAGTCCTACTTGCTTAATTATGCACTTAACTGTTTTGATACGTACTAAACCAATGCATTTTAATTACAACAACCTACAGCTAAAGCTACTACTAATGCTCTTTCTGAAATGGAGCCCTCCTTACTTCTTTCTTTTAAGTCAGAAATATACACAAAGTTATGAACCCTTGCAACCCTGTATACAGAAAGACAGTAGTTCTTGGCTTGGTAATATTTGTCATAGGATGGTTTGGGTTGGAAGAGACCTTAAATATCATCTAGTTACAACTACCCCGCCATGGGCAGGGACCCCTTCCATTAGACTAAGTAGCTCAACTCCTCATCCAACCTGGCACTGAACACTTCCAGGAATGGGGCATTCACACCTTCCCTGGGCACCTGTTCCAGTGACTCACCACCCTTGCAGTAAACGATTTCTTCCTAATATCTAATCTAACCCAACTCTCTTTAAGTTTGAAGATATTCCCCCTTGTCCTGTCATGAAATGCCCTTGTACAAAGTCCATCTCCAGTTTTCTTGTAGGCCCTAGAAGGTGCTGTAAGGTCTCCTTTGTTCTTATTTGTCTAAGTAACATACATATATATTCACTAGTATATTTAACATTGTGGGATTATTTTCATGGGAGACCACATGTTTCTGAGAAATGATGTTTCAAGAATGTAGGACAGAAGTCAGCCAATGCTGCAACACTGAACACTCGGTCTTATCCAGTCTGGGACATTATGCAGAGCAGAAAGCTGGCAGCAAAAATAAACAGACTGTGACCTGGATATTTTAGGGCAAGTGAGAAATAAACCCTGTGACACAGCTCCTTACTTCTGTGGGGCACTTTGGTGATTAATTTTTCCACAACTGTGTTATGTACATTTGCATTAAATGAGCCACACATCTAAATATATGTAACAGTGAGCAGGAACATACATCTAAGATTTTTCCACATCAAAGAGCTTATTTTCAAACTACTCCCAAATTTTCAGTTGACTATGGGTTTTGTGCTAACAATAGATATAAAAATACTTTAGCAATTAGTTGAATTTAGTTGAAAATCATGGAAGCAGTGATTTTCACAGTGATTCACCCTGAAGTGAATAACAAACATCAAGATCTTTAACAGAAATGTCAGCTATTCTAACATTTACCTCCTGACCAGATTGTGTTGAAATTCAAGTATAAATCTATTAAACTTTTAAGAAACAAGAGGACAGATAATTCTCTTCCTACCACATGTGGGTGATAGTTCAGGCAATTAGACAGTCTGCATAAGGAACACTTGGACTCCTCATTCCATCACCCTAGCCCAAAACCTGTCAAGACATCAGATACTGCCACTAAATATTTCTGAATGGAGTTTAAATTTTCTTTACCAGAATAAAAATTAATGTAATACAAAATAGGAGGTCTCACATCTCTCTCCCGCATCTAAAGACTTCACACTACACACTAGAGAAGACAATAAAAGATATAGGTTATAGTTTGGTTTTGTGCTTGTGTGTATTAGAAATTCTGTCTACAATACTAGATTATAAGGAATATTCTGCAACCAAGTACAGATGTAAAAGGTATACCGATTCTGCTTACCAAGTTTTGCTGGAGTAATTAAAACACCAGCTGTTAAACCTTTCCATTGGCCTGATCTACTTATATTTGTATTTTTATACACCCTTCTCAAATCTGCCTGACTAATTATTCTAGGATCTTACATTATCGGCCTTTCAACTGCTCCAGTAATTAGCCTGTTCATACACATTTCTCTGAAATACCCTTGGTTTCGTTCATGTTACTTATTTATAAGGAAAACATATTCTTTTGCATTTTTTCAAATTATTTGCTTTTACTTACACGGCTAGACTAGGGAAAAGAAATTATACAGAATTCTGACATTTAAATGTAATCAAGATTGAGCAAACAGTATCATCATCCTTCTTCTTTATCCTTTTGGGCCATTTAATACATCCCATTGAGGTTTTGATATTCTGATCAAGTTCCTTGAAGCAACATACCAGCTCATTTTTACAACAGTACTTTTCATACAAGTACTCCATCTATCAGTGGGAACCTCTAAAATACTACCATAACAAATATTTTTGAAAAAACTATCTCTGATAATGATGTACTGCATCTTTAGGAGTGAATGGGTGCCTTTGGATGTACCTACCTTTATATTTACATCTGCACCGTTGCAGACCAAAAGCTCTAAACACAATGCTCCATGTGTTGATGCAGCGGCAAAGTGCAAAGGTGTAAACCCCTTCTCATTTACTTGATTCACATTAGCACCACAGTCTATGAGTTCATTCACTACAACATCTTGCCCATTGTAACAAGCTACATGGAGAGGAGTATTTCCATAGGCATTTGGTTCATTCATCTATGAGAGAAAAAAAAACCCCAAGATTAGTTAGTAGGCAGAAAACTGTATTTAATGCAGCATTTAATTCTAACAAAGAAAGATCTCATGTCGTGAGATTATGTTTTGAAACTCTTAAAACCAGAAATTAAAAGCAAGTTCTGGGTGTAGCACTTTGATCAAGATGTGTGTCCTGGGGAAGAGCATGATTGCCTTACAAGTGAGCCAACCTCCTGCAATTGTCTCCACACCAGTTTCCTGTGTGCAATTTAAGAGAAGACGCACATGCCAAAAATGTCAACAGTGGCATACTATAAAGCATAGCACAGACCTCTATAAAACAGCATTTGCAAGTTTTCATTAAAAACATAGGTCATAGAGACTTTTCCCGAGGGGGGGTGTACGGGTGTGTACAGAAATCGAATTTGTTGTTGTACACAACATGATACTGAATTCTGATTTACTTCTCAATAAAGAACTTGAGCTGCAATCTCCAGCCTTGCAAGACTAAAATGTGATTCACAATGCAGATTTCTTACACAGTTTCAGAGTTTATTGTTAAGATGTTTTCTATGTGCAGGTACTGTAGAGCCTTTTAATTTATTTTGCATTTGAATATTAATATGGCCTTACTCTGGTTTTGGAAGTTTCTCACCATTTTTAATATTTTCCAAAATTTAAGTGACGTAAGAAAGTCAGTAACATCTATATTTTACAAACTGAAGCAAAAACATTTAATTTCCTGCACTTCAAAAAGGATTGTGTGGCAGAGCTAGGATCGGAATTCCTATTTCCTGACTTCAAGTCCAACGAATTAAGACCAAGAAATATCAAACAAAAAAACTCTACTAAATACACATTTATTTTCACATTATTGTGCAAAATTTACAAGGCTCTTAAGTTACCTGGAAGAATGTGGTTTTATAACAGAAAAAGTATTTCCAGAGATCTTCATTCACATGCTTTCACTACACCATAACCTGTACCTAAATAAACAGTGTCCTATAGTACTAACAAAAGCATTTCAAACAATAAAAAAATGTGTCAGTTTTATTTTTCCTTACATCAACACCAAGATCCAGAAGATATTTGACTACACTGATCATCCCACTAGATGCTGCAGCATGTAAGGGTGTATATGATTTCTTGTCTTTGCATGTCACTTCAGCTGTATGGGTCACGAGTAATTTCACAACTTCAATATGACCTAAAATAACAAAGACAAATAAAATAAAGCATCATTTTTTATTAACCAGTAGAGGGTTGTAAACTTAATAATTCTACGATTGTTATAACATGATCAAGACATTATTCATTTTGACCTAATGTGGAAAACAAAGAATTGTTCTTGTTTTCTAATTCTATCATGACCTATAAAAGCAACATTAATCACCTCCACATACCACATCCAACAATCATAGCATTTATACTGCAAAAATACATTTGTATATTCAAAACACAATCTTGTCTTCTGCTTACACAGTAGGATTTTTCTAAAGACTTGAGAACTAGAGAGGCAAAGTCACTTTGCAATTATTAAACATTTACTGCAAATTTATGTTACCAACTTGAGAGACAGTGTGACTGTCAGATTTCCACTCTCACCTCAATTGCAAACATGTCCGTTAAGGTTTCTAAATCTTAAGCGGAAACTTTGAAAAAATTATGCAAACACAAAAAGAAAAAAATATTCTACTTTGACATAAAAACATATCCCCCCCCAATCCAACTTCCTTTACTTGCAAAGCGTTTAAAATCTTGAACCAAATTATACAGGACTTAGCAAAGCCCTGTTTTCAAGACTGACTCAGACAATCCAAGAAGGAACCGTAGCCTTTTGAAAGCATAAACTGCTCTCCTAAGACAATGAGAGGAGGGTAAGACTTGAGTTCGGATCATGAGGAAAGGATGACCAGGGGCAAGTTCCAGCTGGAAAAGGGGAGGGAAGGCAGGGAGCCCACCCTGAAGTGGTGGGCAGCAGCACTCACTGCCAGCTTTGGGCCAGGGGCCCCAACACCACACCACTGCTGCAAAGGGCAGTGAGCTTTCCACTGGCTTGTAGGCAGTTGTGACACTGCCTGCTAAGAAGCCATGAAAATGGGGTAACCAAAAAAATCTGTCATTCTTGCTTCATTGTTAACTTAACTGCCAAAAAAAGTCATCCCTGAAAACACATGGATAATCATGACAAAGTCTGCTGAATAAAGTACATGACTTTAACAGACCACGATACACTTAGTGCTTTGCCTTTGTAACTGACCCATACAGACAGATGTGGGATTCTTTGTTTTTGCCTTTCAAGTTACACCCTTACCTTAGTTAAAGAAGTGAGGGGGGGGCATACTGAATTCTTATACTTATTTGGTCAGACATCTAAGTAGAAAGTATCAAGTCCAGCTTTCAGCTTAAGCACTTCATAAAAAGTGAGGGTCTTCACTTTTTAAGAGAATTTGCAAAAGTCTGAATAGGAAGTATCTACCCAATAAAATACAGACAAAGCTATTTTTATAAACATTCAGCCACCATGATACTTATTTCATGCTGCATGTCCGACAGCACACAAAACACCATTTTACCCAGTTATACCGATCACAACCATAAGAGTTTACCAGTGCAATGTGAAGTGATGCAATAGTTCACTTAACTACTTCAGTATTGTAGGAAAGAAGGGAAAGAAAAATGCAAACATGATACTCATCATCTGAACCAAATAAAATGGGGACAGGAGTGAAAACAAGCCCTATATGAGAGACAGAAATACAGAAGATACTGAAAGGAGTGAAAGGAATAGAAAGACTGAGTGGAACAGTGGCAGAAAGAACTTTAAAGAGAAGATAAAAACAAAAAAAAACCCCTGACCTGCATTGAAAAACACAAGCAGCAATCAGTGGAAGACTCTCAAACAGAAGAGAAACGTACTTGAGGTGAGAAGTGCTGCAGAGACATCCCAATTTGTTAATGAGGGCAACAAGAATGTTAGTCCATTTCAGTCACAGCATTGCAGCTGGACAGCAACGGAGCCGGGTGAAAAGCAGGAAGGAAGGGAAACAATGGATATAACCCTAGGAAGTTATTTATAGTAGAATGACGAAAAGCATAACTTTTTTATTCTGTGGTCAGTTTTACACGGTTGAAAAGCTTTAAAGGTTTTTTTCAAACAACTGGAGCAAGGCACAATGGCTCTAAATTGTAAAAGAGAATGTCACAGGTTTTTTTTCTTTTATTGAAGACTTTTAAAGTTTTTTCTACTCTGTTGTCTACAAGGATATTTAGGTTGATCAACATCAGTTAAATTACATTTTTCCTGCCCAAACACTCCTGTTGGTAGCCTATGAAATAGCACTGACTAAAATTGGCATAAATGTAGCTTATCTGAAAAACAGAAGACTTTTCCCTCATCTAGGCAAGCACAAACAAGAAAATGTCTCTGTCCTCTCACTGACACTTGTCATATTTCTACCATTTCATGCACAGATTTCATTCAACAAAATTCTGCAAATAACAACCTTGAGTAAGGTGGTTGGACAGCCTGTCACAGATGTTGCTTTGCAGATATAAGTACATGAAAAATACTTGTTAGATCAATAATGAAAAATGCTCTTTAACTTCTGGGGTTTCAAGAACTGGTATCTGAAGTACAATACCATCCAGCTTCAAATTATAAGTTAGGAGCATTAATATTGTGATGATCACTTCATAATTCACTGGCACATTCAAGTCTTTTCAAGTCTGATAAAAGACAATGAAGTACATTACCTTGACAGTACTGCTAGTACTGTCAAGGCCATGAGAATAATAATTATCCATTCCTGGAATAAGAATGGCAAGGCAAGAATTTGTAGTTTCAGGGATGAAATATTCTTTTGAAATCCAACTCCCAGGGTTGGATTCAGGTGCCCCTTGTATTAACTGTTTACTTTTTGTTTAGTATTACTGCAAAATTTTTCACCTGTGATTAGACTCTCTGATCGAAGAACACAGTTCCTCCTTTTTAAAGAACAAAATTACCTACCTCACTTATCTTACTCGAACAAATTGATTTTTCTCAGCACAAAAAAACACATTTACAAGGCAATTTGATCTATACTGTTAATGGTTTTCTGGCAGACACACAATAACCTCAATGCTTACAATGCAAATTTTTCCTAGAAATACATAAAACCACTAAACATAAGGTGACTTTTTTTTTTACTACTAAAATAGTAATCAACTGAAATATGTACATACCCATATATGCTGCCCAATGTATAGCTCGTCTGTCTTTCTTGTCAAATGCATTAATATTGGCCCCTCTAGACAACAGTAAGCTGACCATCTAAAATAAAGATGAGAAATCTTTTATTCATAATGGGAAACTCTGCTTAGAAAAAGAAAATCATAGAAGAAACGTGTTTCCAAATACATGTGTTTCTAAAGGATTTAAATATGCTGGGTTTTGAATATTCCATAAGCTTGAAAAAACTGGCTGCCACACCCTGGCAGCAATAATGAAGCAACTGTAAGGAACACAAAACTTCATGTCAACAAAAACATTTCTCAGTTTAATATAGCAAAGCTGTGAAATCTTTCAAATCTTCAGGTTATTACTAAGGGATTCACTAAAGCTAATCCCCAAAAGCAAGCCAATTTCCAATGTGTCTCCAATTACCTACATGCAATTAATGGGAATTTCTCAGCAATCATTTTTCAAAGCTTCAGTATTAGGCGAGTTAGAGCTTATTACATGTATTTTCTCCACATTTCAGTGACATCACTTTCCATATGTTCACTATTTACTGAATAGAAAAATATCCTGGTTTTTCCATTTTTAATTTACCCATTACTAGTTTAACTCTACTTATCTCAGCAAATTTGCTTCCGTCGTAAGAAAAGTGAAATATGTAATAACCTTCCAACTTGATGATGTAACATTTATTTTCCACAACTGTTCTGTACAGAGATGCAAACAAAAGACAAATTCAAATACAAAATAGGACTTGGGTTTTTTTGAGGGGATGAGGAAGACATGATTTTAAACTGAGAAACTAAACGTCAGAAATGTGAGGGATAGAATGATGAGTGGAAAACAAATTAAGAAAATTAACTTTTACCTCAACGTGTCCACTGAAGGCTGCATGATGCAATGCAGTTCTGCCTGCTCGATCAGACACATTTACATTGCTTAGGAGAGGCACCAGAGCTTCAGCACACTTCACAGCTTTGTTTGCAGCTGCTATGTGTAGCGGTGTCTGCCAGTTTTTATCACGAGCATTGACATCTGCTGAATGCTTTAACAACACCTGAACAGCATCCTGAAAGCATTTACAAAAAAAAAAAATAAGCCCCTTAGTAAAGATCTGAAATGCCAGCCTTAGATTTAAGGACAGTATAGAAATAACTCTTTACAATTTGTTCATTTATAAACATAATCATACGCTTTGAGATTTGTACTTTACTATAAATCCAAATTTTGGGATGTTCTCATGAACGTGAGTAATATACCCCCTATAGGATTCAACCAAATAACCATTTCCAGGTCTTTTATCCAATTCCTTACACCACCTGGCAAATTGTTTTGTCATCACAACTGATTTCCAAAGCTCAATTAACCAACTTAGGACTTCTTCCATTGCCAAGGTTAAATGAAGTACTATGAACTTATAATGAATTTTCATCAATCTGCCAAGCAAAAGTTTTGAACTGTCAAAGTCTAGAAATGGCAAAAAGAACAGATTATTAAACGTACATTTAGAAACCGCAAATAAAACAGAGCATGGTCATGAAAAAGTTTCATCATACATTGTTGCAAAACTCCTGAAAAACGTTTTAAAATATTGCACTGAATTCCATCTCTCAAAAAGATTATTCATTTCCTTTTGTTAAAATTACAAGCTGTGAAAAATTGACAAATTACACTGTAATTCTTACAGGAAGATAATAAAAACCTATTAAAATATGTGCACCCAATTGGAATGCATAAAAAATTAAATCTGTTGGCAATATCAACATGATGATGAGTATTGCATTTTACACCAACTGTGTGACCTTCCCACAATTCACTAATTGCTTTTGGTGACTGCCAACTTAGTCACCAAGCACACAAATAATTGATTACCACTTTGAACTTAAAACATGTTACCACAAGTTGTTACTAGAAATTTTGAATTACAGAGTGGTACAACAACTAGGTGTTATTCTCAGCTATGAGCAGAATGCTAAGTAACTCTTGATTCTATTTATATTATAATAAATTATATTTCTTGTACTGTCAATACACAAATATACAAATATACAATATACAAATTTCTTGTACTGCCAATAAAAAAAGAAAATAGGAACAAACATAAAAGTGTACATACTGCATCACAGGCTTATAATTTAAGTGAGAAATGGAATAACTCTTCTGTGAGAAACTGAAGCAGATTTAATACTTTAAAAAACTAATTATATTTTAAGTCTTGTCTTTTTAAAACCAAATATTAAGAAATACCATTATCAGAACAAGGAAATTTTAGAACAGCTATTATCCCTTTTGCAGAAGAAAGTACAATAATATTAGTATAAAAATAATGTATCTCATTTTTAAGCACATATGCAATTAATGAATTTAATAGAATTAGTGAATCTACTTAGGGTTTCTTTTTTTTTTTAAATTTGCAATGTACACCAGGTGCACAAAAATATAAAGGCCTAGAATGTGACTGTCTTGACATGAAGTTGCCTTAACTTGCACAGTTGACAGCCAAATCCATAATTCCAGCAATTTTGTAGGTTTCAATGTCCTTGTTTAATTGCAGCTGTCCTTACTTAACAAGTAAATCCATATGTTTTACGGAAATCATTATCAAGCTTTTTCATTACAGCTTTTCATCTGAAGCCCCAAACCTATATATGTCTGTCAGCTGGAAAACGGTGCCTATATGTATCAACCACGTATATGGGCCCCTATGACTCACTGTGTTTAGAAATAGAGAATTCTGACAAGCGCCTGTCATTGGCTTTTGGGTAAATAGTCTGATTGGTTTACGTGTGTTGGTTGCCTTTGGTTAACATTTTGTTCAAAATCTTCCACATTTAAAAAAATATGACCACTGCTGCATTTCTTGAAGTTATCATTTAGGCCCAGTTTGCCTGCAGTACTCCTCTCTGCAAGCATTACTGTTGTAAAGAGCTTTTATTGTTCCTCGGCTCTGAAGAATGCAGCATTTAGTGCTTCGGTCAGCTCCCAAAGGAGCAGCCTAAAAATATCTCAAGAAAAAACAGCATTTGGGAATGGCACCCTTGAAGAGTCATTTTCAAACGCTGTTTTTAATATCATGATCTCCATATAACTTAGCTATTAATGCTAGTGACAAAATACTGCCATTTATCCAGGGAATTCAAAAGCAAAAACTGAAACAAGGCTTGTTTAGATAGTTTGTTGGATCAAATACTTCAAGTTCAATGCTTCTCAAAACCAAAATATTCAATTCCATCTTCTCAAACAAAAATTTACTAATAAAAAATCTTTACTTGAGACATACTGAAATGAACATCATTTTGACTCAGGATCTCAAAGGAGAGAGTTTTGCATAAACTCTTCCACATAACAAGCTCAGCATTTCTCTGTTTGTTTTGATCTTCTACAGGCATTTAAATTTTTTATTAAGACAACCACAACAGAGAAACAATAACAAAGTAATTTCTTACATTATTATATTCTCACAACTATGTAACTGGTAGACTTCAAGAAACATGCTACATTTCACTTATAATTTTTAAAGTGATGTTCAATACTATTATTATTAATTAATGACTTTTTCAAAAAAAACCAGAGATTTGCAGGCCTTTATAGAATCATTTATTTCTTCAATGCCTGAACAGCCAAGTACGTAAAAAAACCAAAGAAATGCAAAGACGATGCTGTAAAAACTATTAAATCTTAATTTATCTCTAATTCCCTCATGCCAAACAATTCTGGTTACCTTAGAAGTTCAGTGAACTTGAGAACACTGTGTGCAGAATCCTCCGCTAAGGAAACTGCAGAGAGCAAAGCTCAGAACTGTAAGTTTATAGTTTTTCCTCTTTCTTCCTGCTCAGGCAAGTGCTATACATATATACATACCCTCAATACGTTAAATAAACTTACAAACACGTTCTGCAATTCCAAACATTTGGAGTAGTTTCACTTTTTAAAAAACGAACATCGGACAGAAGGTAATTTGAGATGCCTTATTTTAAAACAAAGCAGTCACAAAAAGCAACATACCTCACTACAAGATGCTACAGCTCTGTGTAAAGGAGTCAACCATTTGCTGTCTTTGGCATTAACTCTAGCTCCTGTAACAAAAAATAAAGTAATAGAAATTTAAAATGTATTTATAGGATGACTGAAACATTTTCAAAAACAGAGATAGACTTATTGGAAGTTATTTATTCTAGGCTCACTAATACAGTACGACGCAAAAAATGGAAAGGGGTCTTTTCCCCAGCTGACGTCCAACACTTTGAGGAAAGTTCTTTTAACACTGTAACCATAATACTCTTTCACATCAAAGGATACTCATATTTTTACATTTGGTCATCCTCTATATTCTTCTGCACTTCCAAAGCCACATAAAAGGCTGTTGCGCAAGAAAAATTAACTCCTTGCCTTCATTCAGCAACAAAAATGTCATACTTTCACAGTTGAAACTCTCCACTAAAACAGAGAAAGAAGCTGTATTTATACCCCATGCCTCCAGTTTCCCTGTGGTTGGCGTGTCTGATGCAAAGGTATAAAGAATGAGGATGATTCTTCTACTGGGAATTTGGGAACAAGGCTTCACCACTTCACCATGTCACCTAGCCCACCCCAGGATGTCCCGGTCCTCCCTTCATGAGAGAGATATGGCCACACCTCTCTACTTCTAAAAGCATTCTAGAGAAAGAGCCATTCTTGTCCCCAGGAAACAAGGCTGCACAAACATCTGTAAGGGACACAAACCTGGGTTTGGATTTTAATTTTTTTCTTAATAATAAAAGGAAAGAAGAGTTTGGGAACATTTTTCCCTGAAGGAAAGCAGCTGAATTACATTTTAACTTCCAGTGAGCTCCACCAAACAAGAAAACTTAATGATTAAAGTTAATAATTTGATATCTTACTGATACACATACACATATATAAATAACCTTGTAGGTTTTTTATACCTTGAGTGGAAATTTATCCATCCTTATTTCAAAACTTCTGAGATTTTACAGGGATAGCTTAGACACAACGTTACATTTTTGAAAAAACAGTTTGGAAATACTGTTGGAAAGAATCACCCAGTAACATTAATGCTACATGATCAGAGCTGATTGACTTCTCGGGCTAAATATATCACTGTTATGTCAGAACCAACTGTAGTATTTCCTATGTGGGAACAGAAGAGGATGGAAGGCCAGTCAGACACCAAATGCCAAACAAGCTGCTGGTCAAGACACTCAGCTGAGAGACAGGGTATTTTGCTCCAAGACCTGCACCAGCAAAGAAGCTGAACGACCCGACAAACAACCCCAGCAGTCTGTACAGAATGATGGTTGCATATAATAACCAAACCAAATACCTGAAGTCAATTCTCTTGAGTTTCTAGTCAATGCATCCCTTTCAGTCTTAAGAACAGAACACGGAAGCTGATGTAGGATCCAAACTCCCAGTTAGATCTTAGGTCTTCCAAACACTAGACAAAGCCTGAGGTTCTAACTGCTGGCTACAATTTCAGAGATTTCCATCTTTCCTTATATAAATTTCAGAAGCTTTGGATGTCATTCTATTTTTCCAACTGCAAAAGTTTTTGAAAAATAAGACTGATGAACAGGGAAGAAAGTCCAAGTCCATTTGAAGAAAACTCCCACAAATCTAACAAAAGTTTAAGAGACTTCATCATACCATAAATATCTGCTTTTATCAAACGTCCTAAGGATCTAGTGGTGTACTTCATCACATCATGTGCCATAACAATGTACTGCATCAAGTTCTGCACAGAACTCAAGCAAAAAAAGAATTCAAGGACTCTAAAAGTCACCAGGAATGTCTTACGATTTTTGGCAGTAAGTGATGAATGAAATCACAAATACAATGATGTAATGATCAGTGAGAATGTAATTAATATATCTTGATTGTCTTCCAGGTAATTGTTGGCCTCACCTTGTTTTTAGCAGAAGAGACAAAAATAAGAGCCACCTGACTTTACATCTAGCCAACAACCAAGGAATGAAGACTTTCAGTCTGATTTCTATCTCTAATTTTAGGATACAAATGTCTTTAAAGCATTTTAAAGAACTTAAGGGAGTTACCAAGCCATTAATTACCATCCTGATTTTCCTCAGGAAAATGAATTTGCAAGATGTGAGGTTAGGCCAGATGCATCCAGGTAATGAAGCCCAAGACAGGAGAAGCACCGTGCCCATCAGAAGGGAGAAATGCACGTTTCCACTCCAAAGTGACAGTTACCTAAGCTCTAGCTCTGAGTGAAATGTGCTTAGAGTCCAAGCAGCATTTATGTGTTCAGATAAGGTGTTTATTGACATTTCTGCTACTTTTAACACACAGCTTAAAAATTGCACCAGAAGAGAGAAGGAATAAATGCAAAAAGATACTGTACAAAAGGTTTTCCCAGTGGTAAGTCAATCACACTTGCTAAGACGAAAAGAAAATAATATATGAAAGGAAATCAGCATTAGCTAAAGAAATGTCTAAGTAAATTTTAAGTGATATATCTAAAAGTAACACAGTCCTCTCAAAAGAACAAAACACAGCAGTATCTGCTTCCCATCCCATACGTGGTCTTTCAGTCAAAGAAACAAGAAAGCCTCGGTCTACCACATCCCATAATTAAAATAGTGTAATATGTTACAGACATTAAAATAAGCTAACTTTTCAAAAACAAAAAAAATTGTAGATTCTCTGACAAACAAAAAAAACAAAGTTGATTTTTGACAACAAATCTAAATCTCTGACGGACTTAAGAAAGACCACCAAGCTTGTTTTTTCCTCCACAAGAAAACCTCTTAAAGAAGTTGCAAAATTGTTACATTGAAAGACAAAGCTTTTAAGCAATAATCAGGACAAATGTACTAGGAAAAAACACATGTGCACTATTAATGTGGGAATTGGGAGATTACATCTCTAGATACATTAAATAAAATACTTTTCAATTAACATCAAGATTTCTTTGCCCTCAAATTTCTCTAAGAAGCCAAAAATAATTTGAATTTCATAAAAGAGCTTCTCCAAACAGCCTAGCATCTGAGGACATAATCCCCCTCTAGGCTGTTCTTTACTCCCTAGCACATGATTTAGGGAAAATGTTACCATTCCTCCCTCCCCCTTCAGACGCTCTTGAAGGGTCATAAAGCTCCCTCAAACCTCTCAGTCCTACCACACAACAGTAAGGGAGTTTACAGCCTTGATTATCTGGGGTAATGCTCTAATCCAGACCATTGCAAACAAATGTTATAAAAATATATTACACCTCTACCAAATAACTTTTGCTTTAAGGTGATTTGTTTCATGGTTTGCTTAAAGACAGTTCGAACACATGCATGTGTATAACTCACTGCACAACACTGCTGATGCAATATTATCTCCATGAAGCCCAACCCGCTGACGTGTTAACCAGGGCATTTCTCACATTTCAAATGCCAGTTATGCAGCACTTTGCTCTTTCAAAGCACAGTACAGCGTATCTCGATCCCTAGTGCGCAAAACGGAAAAAAAAAACAACCCCAAACAAGCCCCCCACTTACCACACTGGATCTTCCAGACTTCACAGGCCTGTCTTAAAAAGTTTATTAAAACTTCTCAAATATTTATTTGTTCACTGTAAAATTTTTTTATATTTCACTTCTTTTAATGCCATAGAGTTTGCAGGGAAAGGATTAGGGGGCTTGCCAGTGAGATCAAGCACAATACTGCAACAGAGATACTCAATTTGAACTTAAGAGTCAATCACGTAAGTGACCCTCACCTAAAACTGAACCCTCCAAACAAACCAAATTATTCTTCCACATTGGAGCACTAAACCAAAACATTCAAGATCACTCCTTTCACCACCAATTTGGCTTGTACAGCCTAGTAAGTTTACACATCTAGGCAAATATAAAAGCAGGACTTTTGCTCTGTAAAAGGTGGGGGTAGGAGGAATTAGAGAGAGAGAGAAGTAAAATTCAGGGATGAGGGAAGAAAATTATGTAATACATTTCATCTTGCCAAGTTGCATTCACAAGACTGACAATTAGAAAGACATGTTTATTTAATAAATATAGCACAGAAGCTATTGAAAACCTCAGTGATGCTTACTTTTAGCAAGTTTATGTTTCAAGAGGCCCATTTTCCAACTGAATACATACGCTGATTTACAGACTGATCATAGAGGTCTGAATTCTATCAATCTGTATCTGACAGTTGCATATTTAAATGTGCTATTAGCCACCAATTCCTGGACGTATGTTTCTGCACTCCGATTGCTACTCCTTGGTGTCCATGTCCTTACATTCAAGTAAGAGTTAGCACCGCAACCACCCCCTGGAGAGACAGGCAAGGAATGACTGGGCAGAAAATGCTGCAAGGAGCAACTACACACCTCCTCCTTCACTCATCAAGTGCCATACAACTACATAGCCATGTCTCTCACTTCACCTCTGTGTTTCTCTCCTAAGAACTTTTTCTGTGACTCTCCTCCCGAGCTCCTCCGCACCAGAACTCCTCCTATTTGTACATGTCCTCAGAAGACTAATGAATGCAGTGGCTGCATTATCTGCATGCCACTAGTTGGAAATAGATCCAGAAAAGAAATACAACAGAACTGACATGACATTTTCATCTTTGCTCACAGTACTGACTTAAGTACTGAATCGCCTTCCACTGTTCTGTTTGCAGTCTGTATTTTTAGACTTCCAAGGATGGTATTTTCCTTTGTTATTGTACAAGATGTGCTAGGACTGAACAATATCATAATATAAGCAAAGAAAGCAAAAGAGCTTTCATTCAATTATGCAATACAGACACCCAGTATTTGAAGCTCTGAAATGTTTATTTAGGAGTAAAACATGTAAATAAGATCTTCAGAGTGCATTTAAGGAAGTAACAAGCTTTGTCTTAACAACTAGTATACTGAAATAACCCTAGGAATTATCTTGGCAGAAATTAGGAAAATTTCAGGTATAAATCACTGAGAGTAACTAGCAGTCCAACTGTAATTAGATGCTATTTAATTATTTTTCCTGACAGCCAGTAATAGCTTCAGAAGTTTTTCCTTTTAAATTATCCACTATTTTATCTAGAGACGATGACCTTGGAAGCACTTAAGCTGGCCAGC